ACTCAGAGGCGTGAAACTCGAACCCTCGGTGTTCACCGTGTGCACGCTCACGTGCTCCGGCTCCGGAACGTACTGACCATGGGTCGATTCTTGACTCATTCTAAAATAATAAGGAAATTTCCAAGTCAGATCTTAACATATGACAGATAAAGCTATAAATACTTATTACCTTCCCGGGGCAGAGTAGTTACATGAGATGCAGATGCGGCTGAATTATTCATTGTATTTTATTTTGAAAGGGTCCAAAGACCGATTTTAAAACCAAATGCTCTGATACCAAAATGTAACACATCTATGTGGCTACATTTTGGTCCTATCAAAGCACTCAATTCTTGAGCCCTTAGGCGGGGAGTCACGCTTCGCCACCGTTCACGCGCGAGGGTTCCCAAGGATCATGAGTTGGCTGTATGTATCTCCCCAAGTTGTGTGTCCCATACCACACAGATTAGAAAGATATCTACCTCCACCGGCTACATGTATCTTACCAAGCAGTATGTCCCATACCACACAGATTAGAAAGATATCTGTCTCCAGCCTCACTTTGCTCCGATACCAAAATGTAACACCCCAACCCGCGTAACCCAAACCCGTGAGACAACAGACCGGTGTGCCACTGGATTGGTATCCGAATTTACAACATTTTCAAAACAATTTAAAACAAACATTCTATCAATACATATAAAAATCCATCGGAGTAATTTAAAATAATGCAGAAGCCTTTTTAAAGTCAAACCACTTGGGATCTTGCCCGAAAACGTAATAAGCATTAAAGTTAATTAAATAAAGCATAACTACAGATTAAAGAGACAGCCACGCCATCGTACATCTCCTCCTCAATGCCCTCCGGGATCGGCTCTAGGTTCATCTGCCTGATCACCTACGGACAGCAAAAAGGAAAACAGCGCTATCCGCTCAGCATTGACGCTGAGTGGCACTCCATTGTAGCACAAGAATAAACATAATAATTCAATAATTAAGATCGCGCATATGTTTATCCTTTTAATAAAAATCAATTCAACTTTAAATTTGGTTCTTTAAACGGTTGACCAACAGTCAACTTATTTTCTTTCTTTTCAAAACGATTTAGGTGTTAAGGGTTCCTCATTAACTCTTTGACCACCGGTCAAACCAATTTAGACTTTCACGAAAGTCAAACCACTTAACATTTATTGCCTATGACGGAGATAGCCTCAGTCCGTAATACCGAAGATAGCCTCAATTCGGTGGAGGTAGGATCCCTCGGGCGATAGCCTCAAACCCAAGATCACAGACCCTCGTGCGCACGTCTTAACCTCACTGACCAGGCCCTGCAGCCGCCCGAGCAATGGCCAGTTTCTATGTTCGACATAATAAACCAATTGACCTTAATTACCGATTAGAATTAATTAATTAACTTAACTAATTCATTAAAGTCTTGGATTTAACCATTAGGTCAAACCTACGTCGACGGAATATCCAGTCAAAGCCTGAGTCAAACAGGACCTAACCCAAGTCAAAGTCAAACCTGTTCAGTCAATTCACAATCCTCAACAATTCAATTCAAATAATCAATTTAATTCAATTAACTAATTTAGCCAAATTATAGCATAAACATATATAACGATCCGAACCATTAAATCTATTCTAAACGCTATTAACTTCATAGTACGGACCTGGATTACGCAGAAATCGAATCGATAGCTCGAACGGAAGACAAATCAACGAAATCAAACGAACAACGGGCCAAATTGAGTCAAAACACGAAATCGAACAATCAATCTGGCGTGGAGATTAATCTGCCGGCGGTATCAACCCGGGGCAGCAACTGGATGCGGCGACGGTGGCGGACGCCGGCGTACAGTGGCGGAGCGGCAGCTGTGCGAAGGGCGACGGCAGCTGGAGGCGATTGGCGGTGACCAGCGTTCGGCGTGGCGGCGCTGCAACTCGACGGCGAGGATGACCGACGCCGGTAGTGGAGGCGACGAACGGCAGCACGAGGATTGGGAATCGTGGTCGGCGGCGCTGATCCTGGCAGTGAGCTACGGACTTCTGGCGAAGGGGAAGCAGCGGCGACTAGCTGTGCTGGGGAAGGACGACGACCGACGACTGGTTTATGGCGGCGATCGAAAATGATGAAGACGAAGATGACGATGAAGATCGTGCGGCTCTCAGATCTGAACGGAAGATATGCCTTATTTTAATATTAATAGGTTTAGGTTTTACTTATTAATCCCAATACTAGTGGTTTGGGCTCCGAACCCAAAATACCTGATTAAACGGCCATAGCATGACCTCCATAACTCCGATTCGCGAGCCGTTTGAACCGACGTGATCACAAAAATATTTCCTACAAGATGACATAAAAGTTGGGCTTAGAATCCAAATTATAATTTTAACCCCTTTTAGACCCAATTCGTAATCAATTGCTCTAACTAATTTAATTAATTCTTTTGGGCCAGATTTCGGGGCGTTACACGAGGACTCTCCTCTTCTTTCCTTGAGTTTCTCTCTTAGGTCGCCCTAGAGAGCCGACCGCGTATCTTGTAGCCGATCGAACGCTGAGGTTCGGGGCTTCTTCGATTTGGGATCTCCCAACCGGTCGAAGGCTGACGCCCGCTTGAAGGAGGACGACTCATCTTCCTCATCCAATCTGGACAGCTCGTCCTCTATCCTTGTCTTTCTGCTGGTTTGGTCTCCTTTTTCTTTTGGGACCGCCTTACCTTCTTCTTCTTTTTTCCTCCCGATCCCGCAGGTCCAGCGTTCCCTCCTGCGAGTTCTCCGGTTAGATCTTCCACTATGACCTCGCGATTTAGGGTGAATGTAATGCCTTGTAAACCGGCCTAGTATTTAGCCAATATTTTAAATAAATAAATATTATTTATTTATTGAGACTCATTATTTTAAATAATAACTATTGGAATTTCGATATCATTTAATGGACTTCCAAAGTTAATGTATTTTAATAACGTACCTCTCAACATTAATTAATTAAATAAATTAATTAATGATTGGGATGGATCCAGAAGTTTAAAAATAAAGTTGTGAGAAAAATATTTTGAAGATATCATAAATTTAGTTTTGACTGTTTATTTCCGAAAACGCAGTCAGTTTTCAATTCGGGCGAGTATGGGGGGAAAACCGCGTACCGTTCAGGTCGAACTTTACACAACGGAGTGGAATCTAGGGAGGTAACTCCCTAATTAAACCTCACGCCACTTCCCCTCCCATCTCGCCACATTCATTCACCTTTTTAATTCTCCACCTCACCACCATTACTCCCCATCATTATAAACCCACCCCTCTCCCTTCATTCCTCCATCATTTTGTAACCCACCAACCATCCAACCCCCTCTCTCTCTCTCCCTTGCTTCGACGGACAGCAGCGGCGCAGGCGTGGAGGAGGAAGGCCTACGAAGGAGAAGAAGAGGAGTAAGAAGAAGGTGCTAATTTTCAGAAGCAAAACCCCGTCAATCCACTTTGGGCAGAATTTCGTCCATCTTCAACTCAGTTTTTGGTCGTGGTGTCTTGACCAAAATTGTAGCCCTGCGAGTCGGTGAACCACAGCCGCAAACGGTTTGTCAATCGGACGAGTAACGAAGGCGATACGGCTCTTTTACCAAAACTGGTCCTGGAGCAATAGAAAACGCGATGGTTGCAACTTCCGCCCTCATTCTCATTTCGTTTCATCCAATCCGTTATTCGTTGAATGTGTTCCGTCTCTTCACAGCCCCTATAACATATTCGCGAGAAGAAACAGAACTCAAGAAGCCATTTGGAAGTCGGAAGGTCAACGGTTTGATGACCGTTCGTTGACGCCGTTGATTCGTTCGGTCCCTTCTAACGTTGTGTCGTATTCGAGGTATCTACACCCTAGATATAACGGAGGAATCTTTAATATATTTATATGCAAATACGTTTTTTGTTTACCTTGGTATTTGTATATAGATTCATATCATGTTATATTCTTGATCTATTAACGTTACGTGGAGAATAACGAGGATTACAACCGTTATGAAATTGAATGATTATACAAGTCTAAAAGTGGTAGAATGGTTAGATTCTAAAGAATATGGTTAGGCTTGAGGAAACACCAATGAATATCGTAATAGCATCACTTGATACGTATAAGTGAATAAGTTTGACATGCGAATGAACAAGTTCGAAAACACCTAGACCACACTTAGACGATTACATGGACACGTAAATCCGTGCCCAAATATATGTGTTGTGCATGTATGAACGAATGTATATTTGTTGCTTCATATGCTTTACTACTTGGCATAACCTTCGTTGAAACCATATGATCGTGGTTTTCCCGTTATAAAGATATATGGTATGACACTCGTTAAAATAAATCACCTATCAACCCATTGGCATGAATAGGTACTACATATATGTATAAATTGTCATCTTTAGTGTTCATTATAATTTTCAAAAGGTTAAACGTAATTCGACAGACCAAAGTAGAACCCGAGTACTGTGATAGTAGACTGTCAAATTCTGATAATCTACTATCAGGTGCTGCTGAACTCTGATAGTCGATTATCACATAGTGACAATCGATTATCAGAGGCTGCGGAACATTTGATAGTCGATTATCACTTTGTGATAATCGATTATCAGAGGCTGCAGAAGTTTGATAATTGATTATCAACAAGTGATAATCGATTATCAGGGGCTGCTGAACTTTTAGAAAGATCCAAAATCAAAGTGCTTTCAAGGTAAGAATCAACAATTGAAATATGGATTAAAAACCGAGACTTAGCTTTCAATATAAGTCTTCGGGATCTTAAGTCAGGCCTCTCTGAACTTGGGTTTCTTGGACAAATCAACAAGACAATCGATTGTCATAAGGTGACAATCGACTATAACAGTATGCAGAACTTTGGGAACGGAAGCTGCACAGCATGATAGTCGATTATCAACAATGGATAATCGATTATCAGCCAGTTCTGAACCCAGGGCCATCATGTTGAACAAATCATTTCCATATGGAATCAAACTAATATGTATGCGTTGAACTTAACTTTATTCTTCAAGCAATGCAGTCATATCATCATGTATATCCTAGACGCATTTTTAGGATCATGGCATACTTTGCATACCGCGACAAGAGGTCAGGCCTAGTGCGCCTCTTCCGCGGGCCCGTCCAGGAGCCTGCGGGATCCAACGGGTTTTCATCACGAGGGCTTGTGTACGTACATGGTAGCTAGGCTTCAGCTATCACCCACATTTCTAGTCTCCATCGGGAAGACTAAGGCGTTCCTCGGCTCATCTACCGCGTGGGGATGATCACCGAAGGGCAGGGGTCCCTGCGCAGTCTAACTCATGCATCATGAATCATTTGACATAGCATCGTTTGTAAGTAATTATACAAATCTCAATTATCAACTGTATGTGGTATTGCAAAACGTACCGCACTTCATATCCAACAACGTCGACGACAAGGCCAAGGTATTTATGTTTGGATAATATTCCAAAATGAATCTCCATGTTATGTATATGTGTTTCTTGTATCTTGTGCTATCTACTAGGCAAGCATGAAAATTATGTGGCCAATGTGATGCATGGTATTTAAGTATAAATATGTTATCGATCTCTCGCGTTATCGTACCACTCAGCTTTATGCTGAGCGTGTAGTCTTTTTGTCTACATGTAGGTTGAAGCACAGATTATGTGAACCACCCGGAGAACGAAGAGACGATAGGATGGCAGGTTGACATGCATGATTTTCACAAGCATTGCATTTGAAGTTTTGGGTTTGACCCACGTCATTGTATTTGTATTATTTAAGTCTTCCGCTATCTCCAACATTTTGTAAAAGGATCGATCTGAATTTAATATTTTGTTTTGGAAGTTTTGTTTTATTAATTTTATTTAATGATTTAGAAAGGTTTTAAAAAAATATTTCTCTCGTTTCACCTTAATTCCTATAATTTCGGGTTATACGAATTAAGGTGTTACAGTGAAGGCCGCCAACACCTCCTTGAACTGCTCCACGGTGATCCCGACCCTCTGGATGAGGGCCTCCGCCTCCGCCACACCAATAGGAGGGTGTCGGCCTCCAGTGGCACTGTTTTCAACTGGAGAGGGACTCCGGCGCCTAAGTTTGCATTGCTACGGGTCTGCACCATCGTCTTCTTGGAAGGTTTCCCCTGAGTATGATCCTCGAGCACTCAACGAGAGCACCAATTTGATGGACAATAAATCCACCGAATGATCCAATCTAGGAGAATGGATCACGAGAAAATAAGAACAAGAACTCGAGAATTGTAAGTGTGTATTATTAACTTGATTCTGTTTCTATTGAGGATTCCCCTTTCGGGCAATTCAGGTAATTAAAAATCAACGGGAGTCTCCTCTGCCGATAGCGCGATCCCCCTTTTCCGGCTTCGTCTCCGTCCTTCAGCTGAGTCTCCTCCAGTAAATCTGCTCTGCCAGCTGTGTTTTGAGCTTGATCGGTTTGGGCCTCGTGTTGTGGGCCGGCCCAGTTCCAAGCATTCACCACACGCTTGACCCGGCTCCTATTGGATAATTAGTTTGGGCCACCCGCTGGATATCGGCCATATCAGTACCCATCGTTTTCCTGCCCAAGTAACTTCTTAAATACGGTTTAAGATATTAAAATGGCGAGTGTATTAAAAAAAGAACTAAAAAGAATGAATGATTGAATTTTGATATTATTATTTTTATTAAAAATGAAAGGAGGTTAGATTTGTTTTTCTTGAAACGCTGATTTCATAACCTTTTAAAGCATAGAAATAAAAAGAGGAAAGATTTAAAAAAGGAGGAATGCTTGAATTTTATTAATAACTTTAATGCTAGGCAATTAACATGGTGCAAATAAGATACATAAGATTAAAATTTTAAAACTTTCATTATTAAGCACAAAATTTCTCACGGTTTTAGAATTCTTGCAATATTTTTTTATCTCTTTGCTTACTACTCATTTTTTGTGTATACATTTATACCATCATAATAAATTTTAATGATGTCGCATAATTATCTTACATTTTTTCAAAATTTCTACATATTTAATTTTTTTATTCGTAATATTGAAACTAAGTCATTGAAATTATTTAAAATTTCAAAAAAATTAATGAAACTCATAACCCGTTGGGTCAACCTGAACCCGATGACACTGGGTCATGAACATGTAGTTATCAACTCGAACCCGAGCTTATCCGAACCCAAGGTGACCAAACCCGAATCTGACCTAACCGACCGGTTTGCCAGGTCGACTTGACATATTAGACAAATAAAAAATGATTCGAGAAGGGGCCTTTTCGTTTAACATGCTAATAACTTCCAAAATTCTATGATTTGTTTTTTTGGTAATTCTTTCTTTTCTTAGGGCCTGTTTGGGAATAACGTTAGAGATTAGCGTTGGCATTTTGGATAAAATTTTAAAGGTGTAGATTACTTTGAATACTTTGAAAACACTAACGCTAAACGCTGCCCGTAGATAGCATTTTCAAAATGCTAACGCTAATCACTAACGCTATTCCCAAACATGCCCTTAATATGTTAAATATGTTTTTTCATTCATAAAAAATCCCTTTCAATTTTCGGGCATTAAGTATGTACGTATTTTATAAAGTTAATTTGTTTTTTTAAATAGTTAAAATCGTATCATTTATATACACAATGCTTTCCTTTTATAAAACCATATTATTTATATACACCGCATTAAATTACACATGAACGATAGTGTTTGGGTGGAAAAAGCATGGGGCATAATTCCCCTGCTTTTAAGAATAGGATGTTTATATATTAGTTGAACTTTTAACAAGTATACAAAATGTTAATATAATTCTTAAATAGTCATACATATATTTGTGTTCACTATTTTGTTTGCTATTTTTTCTTGGAATTCATTTTTTAAAAAAAATAGTGGAATAAAATATATTTTTCTTTTTATTTTCATACATGTATAGTGTTTCATACACAAAGATGATAGAATAAAACAAAAAGTTCAAACTTTTCCTTTAAAATTTAAAATACAATTTTCTATCAAAATTATAAATTTAATTAATCAAAGTATAAAATAATATGAGCCATGGAGGAAATTAATGAATACATCCTTCCCTCACATACCACGATATCTCCAAAAATGAAATATTGTATCTAACAAAGTTATTTACGAAAAGTTAATGTATTATTCTTCATATGTACATGCATGTACAATATTTAAGTATTTCATCAACACACATTGTGATTGAATAATTTTAATGGTAATTCAACTTATTTATTTAATGTAAGTTTTATTTTTTTAAATAATACGGAGTAACAATTTTATAGATATATTTACATAAAAGTATGCGAATCCGTGCAGATAAAAACTAGTACTCCTTCGTAATTGCTTGGTCCAATATGCAAAAGCACTAAAGCCCATGGAAATTCTCTTTAGTAAATGGAACAATGGTTTGCATTTATATGCCCAACGAATTAAAACGGCCCAAAGCTCATAGGGTTATAGTATTTTCCACCACTCTGCAGCTCCAGACCACTATATATACCCATCTTCTTTTCGAACCTAGCGTGGCGTTTTCATTCTAGGGTTTCATCGGCACCCAATCTTATTTTCCAGAATCTCTTCCGAATTCACGATTTCGGCCTGTTTTTCATTTCGTCTTTCTTTGTATTTCTTTTCATCGATTTCAAGTTTTCTTTTCTTTTAATTTTGCCATTGATAGCGCATCCTTTTTTCTTTTTGGAGGATATGTGAGATTTTTGCTGTCTCTTATGATGAACAAAATCATAACTTTCGTTCTTCCGAGCAAACCATGCGGATGAAACTTGGAGACCTGAACTGAAGAGACTTGTTTTCATTTGTTTCTTGTTTATGTGCTTTTTATTTTTGAGGTTTTTATTTTCCCATTTTTTCATGTTATTTATAACGTTATACATTTGAAATAAAGCTTCTAAATTAAGATGGAGTGTATAGTTTTTTCTTGATCTACTCCCAATACTACATCTATTTTCCACTAAAGTTTTTCAGTCTCCAAATCGATATTTGGATTAATAATACCTCTATATATGGGTGTACATAAAACTGAAAATATGACATTTCAGAATTTCATACTAAATTTTCATACTAAAATTTATTTTATTAATTTTGAGAATTATTAGATAGAGAATTTACTTAAATAGCATTAAATTATAATGATTTCATTAAATAGCATGTGTTTTTATTCCAATGTAGTACTTTTAGATATTATTCATTAATCTATAATTGTTTGTCGTCATTGAATGAGTTTTATTTATGGAATAAAATAGTGAAGTGTTTAGTGTTAAATTTTCTTATTAGGTACAACCTTTTTTATTTTTAAACTGTAGCTCTGTAGGGAGCAAACCCAAACTAACAATTTGTAAAGGATTAAACATGACATTGGGTAAAGAAATTAATTTGTGGTGAATTTTGAATATTCGCAGAAAGACAATACTCCTTTGTTCTTTGTTCTGGAGTATTTGTTCTATTTTGACTTTTGAAACTGTTAATGTTAGCACTTTGACACATCAAATTCTTTTAATGTGTAAGTTTAAATATAGTTGTTTGATTTGTCTTAACATATGAATTATTAATATATTTTAATATATAAATTATAAGATAAAATAGATTAAAGAAGTGTATTGAATGATGTGTAAAAATGAAAGTGGATAAATATTCTACTTTAAAAGATAAATGCACTTCTGTTTATAAATGAAAAGATAAAATATAAGTTCAAATAGTGCTATGTTTCATTTGAATACAATTTGGTAAAAATTTGAATAAATGCATTTGTAATAGTGTAGATCAAATTTGAAAATAATATTATTAAATGCTGCTGCTAGAGAGTTTTTTCATATTTTTAACACTAGCATCTAATTTTATTGATTAATATTGAGTGAATTGTTTTGAAACTAATTAAATTAACTCTCAAATAAATAAAATTTATTGTAATAGGATGAAATTATGATGAAATACAATTTATCATATAATTCTTTTGTCCCAAAAAGAATATTACATTTCAGTACTTAAAAATTACAGAAATTTTATTTGTTTGTGCATTATCATTTATATATATAACTTATCTTTAATTTCTACATATAATAAATTTAAGACATGAAATTTTGTATTTTTTCAAGAAGATAATCCATTTTATGAAGAAATGAGCAAGTAATATAATTAGTTCAAATGGTAATATAATAGTAAAAATTTAAAAATAGAATATGCTTATTGAAAGATAAACATAGTTCTGAATTTATTGATTTTAGTTTTAATTGGGTTCAAATATTATCTGTTTCGAATCTAATCGGTTTTGGGTTTTATTGGTTTTAGGTATTATTGGTTTTGGATCTAATTGGTTTTGGGTTTAATCGGTTTGAATATTATCACTTTTGGATTAAACGGTTTGGGATTTATATTGGATATGAATTATTTAGTTCGGTTTTGGTTCGATTTGGAACATTTCGGATTTTTGGTTATAGATCGGATCTTCATTTTTCAGGTCATTTCGGTTTCGGTTTTGAATATATCGGTTCGGGTAATCGGTTCTGGTTCTGTTTTACCAGGTCACTCCACACAAGTTTTTCCCGTCCCTCTGTAATCGTATAAGAAAAATACGCCACCAATTGAATTTTCAATTGCCTTCATTATGGATTCGTAAGCTGCACTTTGTCCATTGTTTAAGGTATTTCTTAGCTCTTCATGTTCCATTGTAAGCTTGGTGCGATCATATTGCAATTCCTTGTATATGAGTCTATTAATAGATGTTAAGACCACTCATATTTGGATAAGGCATGTCTGAATAATCTTTCAAGCTCTTGCCACCTGTTCGCAATAAATGCTCAATCTCAATAAGGGTGTAATTTTGTATTTCTTCAACACTTAATCCCAAACCTATTGAGAAAGTAATGAAAGAGTTGTAAAATTGTTTTAATGGAAGATAAACATGTCTTGTATGAAACTCAAACTAAAGATTGCCTTCATGGTCAAGCAAGCACCGTTGTCTATGCAATATATCATCACACATAAAATCACAACATTTATCCCAAACATACCTAGGTCTGAACATCGTCTCATTAGTTAATAGTGTGACAAATAGTACTTTAAGGTGATTTGCGGATGCCCAATGACTTGCTTCCTCAATCCCATGGTTCTTTATCATCATATAGAAGACCCAATGCATAACATGCATCACAATACGTGTCATAGACCACTCCATTGACTGTCCTAATTTCCTCAAATGATGTTGGACCTCTGACAACGTTCAAAAGACTTCGTAGATAGTATGCTTCCCCCGCCCTAGGGGGAATATATGTGATTCGTCCTATGGAAATCCCATCTTTCGTTCAGAATATTCCCGTTTGTTTTCCTTTCAAACAAACTTGAGGAAATTCATGATATGTAAGAGTTCTAGCCATAGGGTATTCGGAATTGGCTTTTGTAACACCTTAATCCGTCCAGGTCTGCAGCCCCTTTCGGATTAAAGTATTGACTTGGTAATCGTAAAAATTTAAAAAAACTTTTCAAACACTTTTATTCATTACAATAATATTTTTCATAACATAACAGTACGGAGTCTTCAATATTGCGAAAGCTTAACAAATCATAATCACAAACATATTTCAAAACCATCACATCCATTCCGACAATCTTGCCTTCGTCTACCTCAAGGATCACGTTACATCATTCCTTCTATTAACCTGCGTGTAGCAAATAAAACATACTACACGCTCAGCGTTGAAGTTGAGTAAGCATATCTAAAGCGTCAAACATCCATATAAACTGAATCTCAATTCATAATCAATTAATTTGATATCATGCACATAATGTTTAATTCAGATATTTAATAATCAATATTCATTATTCAACATTTATATTGATAGTCAACATTCATCAGTTATTCATGATATTCACAATATTCAATATTCAATAATCATCATTCAATATTCATTCATATTCAATATTCAACATTCATATTCAACATCCAACATTCAACAATATCCTTAAACTATACCTAGTCTAAGACTAATCACTTTAATGTTTATCAACCCTTAAACGAATTCTAGTTTAAGATATTTCTAACCTATTTTTAAACTATATTCTAGTCTAAGGTATTTTTATCCAATCCTCAAGCTATGCCTAGTTTAAGATAAACTTATCTTCGCTTAAGGTCAACCAAAAACCGAACAACGGAATGCTCACTGTCAGGTTGGGTGGTATCACTAAACGAGTGCCTCTAGTTTGGTTTGTAGATCACGTACGTACGTTTTAACCCAGGCCACCGAATATTCATAATTATACCCGCAATGCCTATTTCTAAGCTATCTTAGAGATCTTCTAGATAGTCTTAGAAACCAACGTCAACCTAGGTATATGTTAGAATTATTCTAGATATCCTTACAATCCAAATCATTTCATAATCAATAATGTATTCATTTCAATTCATAGTTTAATCATCAATAATCATTTTAATATGTGGGTTCATCAAATCATAATCATCATAATAATCATTCATCATAATCATCAATCAACATAACATCTAATCGCAAATAGCGGCATAGCTTCGAGTGTTAACAGCCTAGCTTACCGGCATGCATCACGTAAGGTCCTTTTTGTTGTTAAAACCTCATTTTTATTCCAAGAAATTATCTTTATATTAATCATAATTGATTGGTATAAAAAACAGGGTTTCATAGTTCAAAAATCATGTCTTCTGAACTATAATCGATTAATATATGATAGGAAAATCGATTAATTGCTACTGACTTCATTTTTCCTTAGCGGGATAATTTAATAATCGATTTTTCCTGTCCAATAATCGATATTTGTGTAAAAATAATCGATTTTTTGTGTGCTGAGTTCGATTTCTTTAGCAGAATGAAAATATAATCGATTTTTCATGAAATAATCGATTATCCATCGTCTTCTTCCTCAAGTCAACTTTTAGAAATGTCATTTTTAGTCACCGAATTTCAATTAAACTATATAGAAATGTTCTCCAAGGTTCATAGATCATTTTGGCATCATTAACTCGTAGTTTTAACATAAATTTCAAGGTTAAAGATTCTTGATTCTTTAAACATGTCAAACACAAAACTTAACCAAATGACCGTTTATGAACGTAGAAACGATCTATACGATTATTCTAGTCACTAGATATATCTACGGGCTTACCTCGAAGCTTAGCGGAGGTTTTGAGAATTTTCCGGTGAAGATAACTCTCAACTCCGGTGACCTCACACCAATATGACAGCACCACTACGTGCTCCTCACTCCCAGCAATAGAACAAATATAAGGATTTTGAGAAATGGTTGAGAATTAAAGGAATGGAGATGGTCCTTGTTGAGGACTTGTCGTGCGATCCAAAACAAATTAAAAATTTATAAAATATCCTTAACTAACTCCCAATATATAATCAAATAAAAACTATAGCTAGGGCAAGTAAGGGTCGATCCCACGGAGAAAGTTTGTATTTTTTTAAAAACCATTTTAGTATGCGAATACGTTGTCACGAAAATAAATATAAAAATAAAACTAACTACTACACATATGATAACACTTATAAAACTTATAATAAAAACTTATAAATATAACTTATATAAACAAAGAACTTATAATATAACTGAAACACAACACAAAGGGGGGGTTTGAATAAAAAGTACTCCGTAAATATTTTTGGTTTTTTATATTTTTTTGGTTTTTTGATTAAATGGGGGAAAACAAGCTCTAAAGATAATCAACTCTTTCAACTACGGTAATCCAAAAAACACCGCCAAGAACCCGAAACAAAATGAAAAAGAGAACAAACACAAGCCGAACATTACACGTATAATAGGCACTTAGACAATATATTACGTAACTTACGCACTTAAGAATAGAAAAATCAATCAAATGCCGAGTCGATTCATTTCCTTAACCACGATATGGAGGATTGTCAACTCTCCACACGGCCCGGAATCATGTAATTCAAAGGCCCATTTTGAAATATACCTTAGAACCCCAACTCACCAATCAAGCATGAAAACATACTTCCACTATAGAAAAAGTTTATAAAAGAGCGAATTTTTTTTCATTCTAACTCTCATGTATAATATATTCACAAACCGCCAATAACTTATGCATTTTAATAAACTTTTTCTCCTAATGATGAGCACATTTCACAGATTTCCATGAACTTTTCAAACCAATGACGTTTTTTCTATTCACATAGATGAACACAACATATTTTCAATAAATCGAGAATTGTTTTTGAGCTTAAACAACCTTAATTTTATGAAAATAACGAACAAACATACGAGAAAATACACAATCACTCAATAATGAATTCTAAGAAAAATGAATCAACTTATGGGGCTAAAAAATCCAAAATTCTTGAAATCAATTCACTAATCACAAAAAAGATTCACGTATGAATTCGGAATTCATTTAACTACCTTATGGAGATAAAATAGATTCAACAAAAACCGAATTCCACATACCAACCTATTTATGAAATCAAATTACACAATTCAACCAATTTAACAACTTGCTCAATAATTGATGAAAAACTAGTATGAAACAATTCTCATTCATAAGGGATTTAATATAGACATTAAAAAAACCCAAAAAGAAGAACACCAACCATTTTTTAGAATTTTCAAAATTAAAACAACAAGGGAAAAGAATGTAAATTGAATCAAAAACAAACTTTTACAAAGAAATTGGAGAAGAAAAAAGAAATTGACAATTATTGGGTTACCAATTGGAGGAAGAAGATGAAGAAATTGAAGAAATTGGAGCTGTGATGGAACAGCCTAACCTCTGCCCGGAGCTACTGCCGACCGCTCGCCGGAACAGATGCCGCCGCCGGTTCGCGTCTGCCAGCCGTGTGTTTCCCCCCTTCTTTGGCTCGCCGAAACTGATGCCGCCGCCGGTTCGCGCCGCCGGCTTGGCCGCTGCTTTATTCTCGTGAGATTAGGAACAAGAGACCTTTAAATTCTTCCCGTTGGAGCGTGTGGGCGAATTGAATGGAGAGACGTTGGAGCGTTGGACCCGGCCTTGGCGTTATCTTCGTCGTCACGTTAATGGAGAAGAACCGCTGCTTTTCTCACTTCTTTTTTCTTGCGTGAGACTAAAGAGGAAGGAGAGGAGTGGGCTGATTCTTTAATTTGTTCATTTGATGATGGGTTTTGGGCTCCGGCCCAAAATCAATCTCCTCTTTCCAAATTTGAATTGCACTTTGGCCTTTTGCTACTCTTTTTTTTACAAGTAAGATATTTGATAATTTGGGTTAGGAAAAAATAAAATAATATGATGTAAAAAAAATCATTAAAAACTATAATTTTTGAAAGAAAATTAAAAGAATTTAAAAATTAGAATTAAAATAAAACTAAGCTTAAACAACTAAAAATTAAACTCTAAAAATATTAAAAATGCCTAAAAAAGAATAAAAAGTACCAACCCAAAACCGGCTTATCAGTCCTTATATAGGAAAATGGTGAAGGGTGCTGCCAAGGGTGATGTCCGGTTTCTTGTTCGGGCGGCTAGTGGAGAACGAGGCGATTGCTTTTGATTTCAAACGTATGTCCTTGATTGGGACAAAATTTGGTCCTAGTCGGGGTATACTTTTTGGCCCAGCTTTCTCCAAATTGAATTTTGTTTGAACCGTTGCGATCAAAGAGTTAAACTCTATCCAACGATATAATTTTCATAATTATTTGTAACACTTTTTCCGACATCATATTTTTGGGCGGTTGACTTTGACAGAGTCAAAATTGATTCCATTGATCTTTATTCAGAAAGGCAATCTTATCCAATTCATATTATTTATTTTTATGAATAATTCATTTCAAAATTCTAATCATAGACAAATTCTCTACTTATTCTAGATTTGGGTCTGTACTCTGTTTCCCCCAATCAAGATAATATAAATAGTTAACATATTGGATTTATATCTTCGAGATTTATTCATATTGTATTATTGAATATTAAAACATATTTCATTTCGGCACAAAGCCCAATAATAATTTATTTTAATCAAAACAAATTTGATTAATTGAATAATAATTTAATAAATTTTAGGGTATGTTTTAGGCCGTTACAACTTTCATTCAAACAAGAAACTTGCTCTCCCTTATACTTTCACGATGCACAACATCTGATGCATCATCTTCATCCTAAAAAAGGAATTGTTCATTCGGGAGGTGAAAATGGTCTCTCCCTAATTTTTTTTCCGATACCACCACGTCGGATCTGTATCATCCGTGCCAGATGCGCTATCAACAGAGTCGTATTTAGGGATCGGTGATTTTTTATATTTAGGAGTTGGCAGGGGAGATGGCCTTTCATCTTCGCTATCATTTAAAAGCTTGAAGGAGGGCATGGTAGGGCCGCCAATTACCATTTTTGGTGATTTGATATTGGAAGAAGGTATGGAAGATATAGATCGGATGATAAGGGTGCCAACGGCGATGGGGAAGAGGAACGGCCACAGAGAGAGAGAGAGAGAGACAAAGAGAAAATGATGAATGGATTAGGGGATGGGTAGGTTAGAGCCACATACGGTGGGTGGGGTTTGAGGGTTGGGTAGAAATTAGGTTTAAGGGTAGTGTAACACCCCAATCCGTATAACCCGGAATTACACGAATTAAGGTGAAACGAGGGTTAATTAAAAATTTTGCTTGACATTTGAAAATGACAATCACTTATAAATATGAAATTTACAGACTCTGGATCGCGACCCATTTAAAAATATTTTCAGAGTAATGCGGAAGTACAATAATAATTAAATCATGAAACATTCAAATTCTTTGATGATCAAACATTTGCCTGCCATCCTTGCATCTCCTCTGACTCAATGCCCTCCGGGAGTGGTTCCGTCATTGTCCTCTTGTTATCTACGTGTAGTCAACGAAAAATACAAACTACACGCTCAGCGAAACCGCTGAGTGGTATCACGCTAGAATTGTAGAATAATTTCACAGACATATACATATACATATGTATACGCCCACAAAAATGTATAACAATATTCATGATATGTCACATTATATCATATGTTCAATTTGATGATTTATGATGATGGATATTTAATGATGATTACATGATGGCATATTTAATCAATATAATTATTCTTGATGATGATTACATGACACCTATGTAATCAATATAATTGTTCTTGATGATGATTACCTGACACCTATGTAATCAATAAAATTATACTTGATGATGATAACATGATGCATGAACCTATAACCTGCAAGGACGACCCTTGTGCTATGAGATTCGCCCAGATATACGACGAACACACGCCACCTTAGTCTCACAAATGAGGTGAGACTAGAAAGATAGGGGTGGTACTCAAAAGCCTGAATACCATGTACGTACACTAAGCCCGAACGTGTGATGTCGGACTGCTAAGTCCCGCACAATCACGCTATAAGAGATGCACGAGGCATGATCTCTTACGCATGCATATGATGTGATATGCTTCAATATGAATGATGAAATGAATGATATGGTATGAACAATTTATCAACGATATGAATATATAATCATGCATTAGCTTATTTGGATGAAACATGATTAAAATATCATTTAATCAAGCTACTAGGCTCGGAATGGTCGACCGTTTAGCACGGCGGTCGACCGTGCTATATTTCAACTCGTCGGATTTCTAGATCACCGTGACGGTCGACCGCGGTCGACCGGCGGTCGACCGTTGTTGACTGGCTGGAAGTGACGGCTCTCAACTGGACTGGCGGCGGTCGACCGTTCGCTGTCGGTGGCCGACCGTTCTGCTGACAATCATGGTCCGTTTCGAAGTTTTAACACGACGGTCGACCATTTGCGTCGACCGTTTGGGTCTGCGAGTCTTACTCTTCATATTTTGGGTGTCTAAAATACTTCTTTAAGTCTTTTAAACACCTTTGATTAACATATACATATTGTTGGGTTGATTTCCAAAGTTTATATTTACTTATGTGTAAATTAACTTTATGGATTTGATGTATTTTGATCTCAACATATAGATGACATATATATGTATTACATATACATTTTGGAGATAGTTTCAACATATGGATTAACATATATGTTCATGTACGTATGTGATGAATGATTCAACAAGTCTAACGCAAGGGTACAGACCAGGAAATCATCGGCCGAAACCTTACGGATGAGCGGGAGTGAAAACAACATCGAAAATCACCAACTTTGTCATTCTCGTCACAATTGGACAGTCTGCCGTATTTTGGGCATATCTCCATCATTTCTTCACGGAATCGCAAACCATTTGATTATGTGGATTCCTAAGATGTAAGGCTATAACTTTTGTATAGAAAGTATTTCGAGTTAACAGATTTAAGATAGCGTAAATCGGACCTGAAGTCAAGGAAAAGTTGCTGTTCAGAATTTCGGATATGTCGATGAACAACGATTCCGACGATTAACTCATTAACTTCAATATTCCAACACCAAACCTTCTCTACGATACCTTCCGGATGTTTCTAATAATCGTTAGAGAGTTTATGGTAAGTGTTTGGAATGAAACAACATGGATATGGTGAGGAAACATAGCCAACCCGAGGAGCTCGCCACCACTGGCGCAGTCCCGGTATTTTGGCCATATCTCCTTCGTTACTTAACGAAATCGCGAGCCGTTTGTTGGGCTGGATTCGTATCGTCCGGGGCTACAACTTTAATTCAGAAAATATTTCGAGATAATGGATGAAAAATTTCAGTTTTTACCTTAAAGTGGTTGCTGCGTTTTTGAGCTTAAGATTTGGAAACTTTAGATGTTTTCTTGCTTCTTCTTCTTCTTCCTTCTCCTTCATTCTCCTTCCTTGGTACCCAAATATGGTGTTCCTAAGTTTCTTATCCTTGCTACTGCTGGTATGAAGTGGGAGAGAAGGAGATCAAAAGAGAGATGAAGAGATAGTGAATGATGATGCGTGATGGTGGAAGATGATGATGATGTATAATGATGATGATGATGCTAGTGGAGGTGGAGTATGATATAGGAAAAGAATTGGACTTATTTGTGTTAGTGGGTGGCTAGTGGTTTGAATTGGAGGTAAGCTACGGATTTGGAAGAGATTTGAGATTTAAGTTTTGGCTTTTAGCCAAAACTGAACAGTTAACTCCAAACGGTACGCGCTTTTTCGCCCAAACTGTTCCGAATTGAAAATGAATTGTGTTTTTGGAATGAGACTGTCAAAACTAAAATTTTGACGTTGATGGTGTAAATTCCACTGGGTATGAGAAGTAGGTAACTGGGTCGGGTTAGGGAGGCCTAACCGGATAAATAAAGATAAGCTTAATAGTAAGGAACACAACACAGAATTACCTGGACCGGGGTAAATCTCTCGAGTCCGAATATATTTCTTACTCCTTCTAGAGTGTACAGGATTTTATGGAAGTAGTAGTGAATGCCCTCTCCTCTATCTATCATAGATTATTTATAGAGTAGAGGAGGCTCAGTAGGTGCATGGAAGCTGCCCACTTAAGGACAAATAACCAGACAGCATCTATCACTGTGCAATCAGAATTTGTTGATTGAATACAAATCCAGGATGGTGCCAAAGGAGTTTACCACACTGATTTCTTGAGTGACGGGTGTGGGTCCCTCCATTGATCTCCTAGATACTTGGGTTTGGGGGAGGCGGATACGTCCGGGCGTGATCCACAGATCGAAGCTCAAAAAGTGAGACCGGTCAAGTTGTACGGAGCCCAATGCTTCATTTCCTCAAGAGCTCAGGATAGTAACCGGTCTCCCAATCCGGAGGGTGACCGGTCTCTCAATGTCGTACCAACGTCTATTCTTGAAGACCAAGACCGTGACCGGTCACCCTAATCCGGAAGGTGACCGGTCACCAACTGCCGCGCCCAAATGTCTACACCGACCATCCTCGAAGACCAAGAAACGTGACCGATCACGTGAGTCCGGGGGTGACCGGTCATGCACCGCCGTGATCCGAAATGCCATCTCGTAGAGGGTGAAGGTATGACCGGTCACCTAAATCCGGGGGATGACCGGTCACCTACCACCATTCTCCAAAGTAGCCGCCTAGTTGAGTCTGAAAAGAAGATCCGTGACCGGTCACCTTTAATCGGTGGTGATTGGTCGCCCAGCGCCATGCTCCGAATAGCCACCCAGTCGAATCCGGAAGATCCGAATCACCACTGGTCACCCGACCTCATGGTTGACACGTCACCTAGGTATCGACGAGTATACCTGGGTATGTAATATACCCATCAATAAGCCCTCCACTTATCAGTTTTGTGAGAATCACCAAGACTGGGAAGTATTTGATCGTGACCCATCCCCGGAAAGCGAAGCACCGTTTGGGTATTGGAGGCCAATCTCGAACCTCTCCCTAGCGCCTAGCACCAAAATCAACATGGTCTCATTTTCTCTCTTTTTTTTTTTTTAAAAAATCTTGATACTAGGATCCTCCCCTAGCCCCTTATTCGGATTTCCCCCCCAAACCACAACAAAATTTTGATTTCAAGATTCGAATTTTGAGCTCTCCCCTAGCCTCTTCTTTGTTTTGGTTTCCCCCCAAAACCACTCTACAATTTTGAAATTCAAATTCAAAATTTAAATTTTGAATTCTCCCCCCAATCCTATTCGGCCACATGTCACGTCCTTATTGGCCGAGGTGGGCGGCCCCTCTTTTACTCTATAAATATAATCCTTCCCCTCAAAGTTTTCTCACTTCTCACTCCTTCAACTCTTGAAATCGCTCGGTGCCTTTTCCTCCGTTCACCCCTCTCAAGTTTGGCCCTCGGCCAAGTAAGTACCTTAGCCCTCCTAGCCTTTTTTTTCAATCGGGTAGTATAGTCCCATGTCTTCTTGTAGCGATTCTCATGATGGGTCGGGGTCTTCCAATTCCACCATCCCCTCGTCTTCCCCTGGATCGGCGGTGCGGTCCCCCCTAATCGACCGGGCCAGCCCTCCGTGGCCATGGTGGTTCCCGACCCCATGCCTCTAAACCAGATGCCCGGTCGGTTTAAACCCGAGACCGACGATTGAGAGGAGTTTGCCGCGTCGCTGGACGCGGTCGGCTACCACGCCCTAGACTTTCGTTCCATTCTTTGTATCCCCACTAAAATCACCAAAGTTTTATTGAATAAGGCGCGGAGTCTGATCCCCCGGGATACATCCTTCACTATAATGCCAATCATCAAAACATCATAGATCCCCACCGAAGACCACGGTTAGGTTTCCATCTAGCCTCCTTGGACACCGGGATCCTCTTCCCACTTCGTCCCCTTCTCATCCAAATGTGCAAAAGATTTTCCATACTCCCGGGTCAGTTGACTCCAAATGCCCATGGACTACTAAATTGCTTCACAAATATTTGCAACTTCAAGAAAATCACCCCCTCCCTAGAGCTCTTCCTCTTTATGTTCGAAGTCCTACCGGGTAACGCCAACTGCTCCGGATTTGTGTACTTCCATTCTCGAAAAGATAAAGCTTTCATCTCTGATGTTCCACCCGGTCATAAAAAATGGAAAACACGGTTTGTCTTTATTGACTTTCCCAAGGGCGAGTTCCCCTTTGATGGCGAACTCCAATGGGGAGACCGGCTCCCTGAGTCTGAAGATGTTTACCTGGCCACTACTCCTGGTCTTGAGAAAGATTGTGCGGCGTTATTGAAGGGAGATCCGACCACTGGGAAGGCTTTTAGCTTCGGGAATTGGACACACCGGGTCCCTAGCTTGGATGAGGGTACCCCTAGGTCCAATGAAGCAGAGGCTGACCGGGTCGCAACCCCGGAGAGTAATGCTGAGGCCGGGTCCACTCATTCAGGTTAGTCATCTTTTGTAACACTGACTTTTTTTTTAACCGTGCCCCTCCCCTTTTTTTTGATAGAGATGAACTTCAGAAGCTATGCCGACCCTGAGGATGAAGTAGAGGACCTCGAGACCAGCTACGGCAACGTTACTTCTCCCCAGGTCGACCACAATCACTCCACCGGGATCAATGATCAGGTGATACATGACGTCCAATCTGAGAAGAACCAAGGCCATGAGTCACCCCTATATCAGGGCCCAAGCCAGGTGGATGATGTGGCTGAAGTGGCCGGTCAGAGCAAGATTCCTACGGGCACCACCGAAAAGACTTCAACGGAGAAGAGAAAGAGGAGTTCCCACAAGAGCTCTAGATCCCACTCTAAGACGAGGAAAGGGGATCCCCAATGCCGTGATCCCAAATATGCAGAGATGTCCGCTGAGCAACTTCTCCTAGCCATTGCCCAAAAATTGCACGGGGTAAAGTATCACTTCCTTTGCGTTATTTCAAACATTCTCAATTCTTATTAACGTTTCTTTGTCCTTGCAGCATGGTGAGTTCTCTGAGGCTTTCTCTAGACGAATTCTTGGCACGGGCGATGATGAATCCCAACGACTCCAAAGGATGCTTGATGCTGCCCATGAAGAGATCAAAACACATGTCACCAATGCCAATCAGGTGAAGACCTACCTTGAGCAGGTGAATCTTGAGAACAACAAAATGAAGTTCTCGGTCAGGGAGAAGGATGAGGAGATCAACCGGCTTAAGGAGGAGAATGAGCGACTGAATGATGCACTGGTCAAGAGGGAAGAAGAAGTGAGGACCCTTGAAGCTGATTCCCGTGCCAAAGACGAGATGTTTCCTGCTAGGGCCGTGGAATGGGCCGGCCAACACTACGCTGAGGTTGCCCGGGCCGTGACCGCTACACCAGATGGAACCAAGGACTTCTTTGAGGTTTTGTTCAAGGAGCCTGAGGGTAAAAAGATGACCACTGAGATTGGATTCTATGGCTTCATGATGGGGCAGAAGGCGGAGAGGACTGGCATGTACCGGCTTATGCAGAAGAGGGATCCTAAATTCGAGGCCGTGGCATGGAAGCTTCCCCCACTCCACAAAGATGAACCAGTGCCCCCATTCCCCCTTGAGTAGGGTTAGGCTAGATTGGTGCCTTTGAATTTTCTTCCATTGTAATATTGACATCGTTGGATTTTGAACCCGGTGCACCTTGGTTGCTTGATTTAATATTGATTTTGTTACCATAGGGAGATTAGCAGTTGAAATTGGAAACTTGTCTTCGAGACATGGTCCGAAGAATCTCTTTAAAATTGGCCGGAGTCATCACTGAAACGGTGACCGGTCACGGAATAAAATCGTCAAATTGTTCCGTTCTGAAACTTTAATTTGTGACCGGTCAAAGTACCAAAATGGTGACCGGTCACATTACCGTGGACAACCGGTCAAAGTACCAAGGCGGGCCAAATTTATTGAATTGCTACATTCCAAAATGGCAAATTGTGACCGGTCAACTTTTCAAAATTGTGACCGGTTACCTTACTTGAATGGTGACCGGTTTTTGGCAAATTTTCCAAACGTGCTTTCGAAATTTTTGAAATTAGACCACCCATCTTGGGCTAAAACTGTGACTGGTCACGGTTGGGCTTGAAGTCACCACCCATCTTACTTCTTCTCGACTTAGTCAACTGTATGATGGTTTGACTTAATCGGTCATCCAATATTTTTTTTATTTTGGGCATCCAGTTTTACCTGGGTAATGCTAATCTAAGTCCCAACATCAAGACCTAGTTAACATTGGAGAATCAAGATCATGTACTATGACCACGAACCCTCTCCAAGGTCCTGCCCTCTTCTAGGAATCACCCTTGCTCCAGGGCCCCTCTTCCAGGTTTAAGATTTTTATTGTGCCCTATTTACTTTATTAGATCGACCAAGCCCATCTAATCTTCCCATGGGGGGTACGCTAGTGAGAACCGGCACGCTTCCAATCTACACGGCCATGTATTATGTGTTTGGAAGATCCCATCTTTTTCACAAACAGAATTTCCAATCCACAAGCGATGGTCTCAAGAGACGGTATCATTTTTTGGCATCTTTTCCTCCCTTCCCAGTAAAAAACTAGTCAGGATCCATGTTTAGTATGGATGCGAACCCTCTTCCAGGTCCAGCCTATCTCAAGGCAATACCTCAAACATCAAGGCCCCCATCTCAAGGGTTTTTTTTGTTTTCATACTTCGATCCGGTCTCAAACATCAAGACCGGTCGGCCAAAATCATTAGTTAACTCCACTCACAGGAATTTAACTAAAAATAGTTTCCATTCATTCGTTGAGAAGATTTCAATTACACACACCAAGCACAACTTTTTCAACTATTCAACGATAAAACTTCTTTAGATGGTGCGAATTCCAGCACCTCTCAACTTCTTTCCCCTCCAAGGTTTCCAGCTTGTAGGTCCCTGGGCGGATGATTGCAGTCACCTTGTATGGACCCTCCCTTTTTTTGCCAGTTTTCCTCCGTCCCCAGGCTTGCTTGCTTCTCTGCGTCTCAAGACCTCATCGCCTACTTGGAAGTAACGGGGTACTACCTTATTGTCATGGTAAGCCTTCACTATCTGTTGGTATTCCATCATTTTCATTTCAGCCATGGCCCTCCTTTCCTCAACCATGTTTAGTTCAGCCATGTGACTCTCGTTGTTTTCTTCCTCGTTGTATTCTGCCTCACGGAACGTTGGGATCTTTGCCTCAATTGGCAATCTTGCCTCACAACCATAAGTGAGGGCAAAAGGTGTTTCTCCAGTAGCCCTCCTTGATGTCACCCGATAGGCCCATATGATATGTGGTAGTTCCTCCAGCCAGTTCTTCTTGGCCTCCCCCAGTCGCTTTTTGATACCATCCACTATGGTTCGATTTGCATTCTCTACCTGACCATTTCCCTGGGGGTAGGCCACTGATGCCTTATTGTGAGTGATTCCAAAATCTTCTGAGTATTTGGTGAAGCGTGGATTTCGGAACTGTGGTCCATTATCAGTGACAATGCTTCGTGGGGCTCCAAACCGGGTTATGATGTGCTGCCACACAAATTTTTGACATTGCTTTGTAGTGATAGTCGCATAAGCTTCAGCTTCTACCCATTTCGTGAAATAGTCAATGGCCACAACAACATACTTCTTATTTGCTTGAGCCACGGGGAAAGCTCCCACAATATCCAGTCCGAATCTTGCGAACGGGACAATATTGGACACCGGATGATAGTAAGTTGCGGGGCGCCCTGGGAATTTGTAAAAAATCTGGCAAGATGGACATTTCTGTACATACCGTTCACAATCCATGTTCATTGTCGGCCAATAGTAGCCTAGCAAGATGATTCTCTGCGCCAGGGTCCTTGACATCTGGTGGGCTGCACAGACACCCTCATGCACCTCGGCAACCACTCTTTCCGCTTCAGATTTCGTCAGACATCTCAACAACGGTCCACCGAATGCCCGTTTGTGTAGTTTTCCCTCAAGTAGCTTAAAACGAGGTGCCCTCAACTTCACTTTTCGTGACCGGTCATCTTTTTCAGGAAGTTGCCCGGTCATCAGATATTTGACCAAATCTGTCATCCAGAAATCATCTACTTCGACCAGGCCGAGACCTACCCGGTCAAGTTCCATGACCAGGCCGACTGGCTGCCGCTCAATACTCGGCCTCTCCACCATCTCGATTTTGGCCAACTTTGAGACATGTTCCGGGGCTGCTTGGGTCAACTTTGATAACAAGTCCGCGTCCGTGTTTCCCCCCCTAGGAATCTGCTCGAACTTATACTCTTCCATGTCTCGTAGCAAGGCCATCACCAGGTCTCGATATTGTTGCATTTTCTCTCCCTTTGCTTCCATATTCCCATTGACGTGCCCTACCACCAGACTCGAATCCGATTTGATGACCAGGTGTGAAACATGCAGCGATTTAGCCAACCTCAGCCCACCTATCAGGGCCTCGTATTCCGCTTCATTGTTGGTTAGCTTGAACTTAAAAATCAAGGCGTGATAAACCTTGAAGCCTTCTGGAGTGGTGAAGACCACTCCTCCTCCATAACCTTTTGGTCCGGATGCCCCGTCTACCGACATAGTCCACCAAGATTTAGTAATTACCATCTCATGATCTTCCTCCTTCTGACCCGTTATCTCGACCAAGAAATCGGCAACAGCTTGGCCTTTTATGGCCGTTCGAGGACGATATTCAATGTTGAACTGGGTCAACATCATTGCCCATTTTATCATCCTCCCCGAGGATGTGGAATTTCTCATGACCATACCAAGGGGTTGGTCCGTCAAGACCACAATTGGGTGAGCTTGGAAGTAAGAGGCAAGCTTCTTCGCCGTAATGAATAATGCATATCCGGCCTTCTCCATGGAGGTATACCGGCTCTCAGCACCATTCAAGGCCTTGCTCACATAATAGATGGGCCTCTAAATCCCATCGTCTCGCATCAGCACGGAGCTGACGGCCTGCTGAGTTACCCCTAGGTATAAGTAGAGCGTCTCCCTAGCTTCCAGCTTTGCTAAAACAATATCCGAAGCCAGTTAAGTTTTCAGATCTTTGAATGCTTGGGTGCACTCGGGACTCCATTCAAAAGCATTTGCCTTCTTCAAAACCTTGAAAAAAGGCAAGGCCTTTTCTACTGACCTTGACAAAAATCGATTGAGCGCTGCCAATCATCCCGTCAGTTTTTGGACATCTTTGACCGAAGTCGGGGGTTGCATTTCCATAATTGCCTTGATTTTTTCAGGATTTGGTTCTATCCCCCTTTTGGTTACCATGAAACCGAGGAACTTCCCAGTCCTTACTGCGAAGACGCACTTCTTGGGATTAAGTCGGAGGTTGTACATGGCCATGATGTCGAAGCATCGTCCCAGGTCCTCCGCATGCGTGCTGGACACCTTGCTTTTCACCAGCATATCATCAACATATGCATCCATTGTCTTTCCCAGCAATGGCCTGAACAGCTTGTTCACCATCCTCTGATAAGTGGCCCCGGAGTTTTTCAACCCAAAGGCCATTACCCTATAACAGTACGTCCCATCGGGGGTAAGGAAGGACGTTTTCTCCTCATCATCCTCAGCCATATAAATTTGATGATACCCTTTAAAGGCATCCATAAAGCTGAGCAATTCACAACCTGCTGTCTCGTCTACCATTTGATCAGGACTGAGAAGGGGATAAGAGTCCATGGGACACGCCCTGTTAAGGTCCGTGTAGTCAACACACATCTGCCATGTGTCTCCTTTGGGGGCCAAGACAACATTGGCTAGCCATTCAGGGTAATGAACCTCCCTAATGTGACCCACCCCAAGCAAGTCTTTGACTTCTTTTTTCACAAACTCCCTACGCTCGCTGGCCAAATATCTTTTCTTTTGTCTCACGGGGTGGGACCCTTCCATTACTGATAGACGATGGCATATCACCGATCAATCTATCCCCGGCATGTCCGCCACACTCCAAGCAAATAAAGAATTGTACCTGGTGAGGACCTGAATGATTGCATCCTTCTGTTCAACCGGTAACCCGGTACCGATCCTTACCACCCTTTCTGGTATGGCCGAGTCAATCTGAACCTCCTCCGTGCTAGAGTTGGGCTCCAGCCTTTGCTTTTCTTCTCCCTTCTCCACTTGTTGGGAGATGACCTCGATCCGCTCAAAGAGGTGGGTCATCTTCTTTACAGCTTCCAGGTAACATGACCTAACATTCTTCTGGTCACCTCTTTCTTCCCCAATGCCATGGGGGGTGTAAAACTTCATGCACAGGTGAGTCATAGAAATAATTGCCCTCACTTGGTTGATCCCGGGTCGCCCCAGGATCACATTGTGCACACAATGGATATCAACCACCACGAACTTCATTCGCTTGCTCACCACCCTGCTACCTGTCCCCAGTTCTACAGGTAATGTAATAGTTCCTTCAGCCTCAATCGTTGCTCCAGTGAAGCCTGACAAAGGAGTCTGCAGGGGCTCCAGTTGTGACCTATCCAACTTTAGCTTTTTGAACGTCTCCAAGTATAGAACATTAACAATGCTTCCTGTGTCAACTAATACTCTGGCCACGTCCGCACCGTTTATATCCATTGTAATGACCAATGGGTCATTATGATCTTCTCCGGTACGGGGCAAATCCCTGTCACTAAAAGTGATGGGCTCTCTCTTTGCATTTTTTGTACGCGGTTCTGCTGACACTGTGGCCACGTTCAAGCTCCTGGCCCAATTCTTCCTTTGAGACGCCATGTCTCCTCCTTCAGGCCCTCCCACAATCATGGTTATGTACTCTTTCCTTGTAGCGGGTTTCTTTGCCTTATCCTTTTCTCCTTCTCCCGAGCGGTTCCACCTATTTGCCTTTCTCGCCTCTTCCGCGTACTCGCCGCTGAACTCACCTTTGTTTACCATCTCCTGGAGTAAAACTTTCATACATCGGCATTCCGTGGTATTGTGCGAATCTGACTGGTGGTAGGTGCACCACTTCTCGGTCCAGGGCTTTTTGGGCTTGCCCCCTTTTTTATCGTCTCGGATCTCATGCACAATGCCTTCGTGATGAGTCTTTGACTTCGAGCCCCTGATTGATCTTCCTTTTTGGTCTGGGATGATTTGGCCTTATATCCTTCCTCCAGCTCTCTCTTGCTCTGGTTTAGGTTCTCTGCTTCCCCATACTCCCACGCGGTGTTGTATGCTTCTTGGTAGGAAGCGGGAGGTCTCCTACAGAATTCTATATAGAGTTCACCAGAGCGGAATGCGTTCATAAGGAGTGACATGGCAGTCTTGTCATTGATCTCCTCCACTTTGTCCATCTCCTCCCTCCACCGGGGGAGGAATTGGATCAAGGTCTCCTTCTCCCTCTGTCCTACCGTGTTAAGGTAGGTGCATTTCTTCCTCTTGATGCAATTGTCCTGATACTTCCTTCAGAATATTTCAGCCAACTTTTCAAAAGACCCGATCTTGCCCTGGGGAAGGTTATTGAACCATTCCACAGGCCTTCCCCTCAAAGAGGAGAAGAACAGCAAACACTCCTCAGCATCCGTGCAACCCACCATCTGAGCGGCGTTGTGAAAAGTGTCTAGATGGATGTCTGGATCCTCCTTACCAATGAACTTTTCAACGTCTAGCTTTATCTTCCGGGTCATCTTGTGCATGTGTACCGAGGCAGTAAAGGGTGACTTTGCCAAGGTATGCTTCTTTCGTCCACTCCTCTCAACTTTGTCCTCTAGGGCTTGCAACTTCCTTGCCATGAACCCGATTTCATCAAAATCTTTATCGCCGCTTCCATAAGACAATCTTGTATAGGCGGAGGCTCTAGGCTGGCTCTCAGCTTCCCCTTCTTCCAGGTGACGGCCCTGGGTCCCCTTTGGCCGCCTAGATTGAGCAGGTTGCTCGCCTCTCACCCCACCATGACGTTCGAATGCACTAGGACGAACAGTATCAGGTCCGAGCCTAAGTTTTGCAGATTTCCGGGGGCCTTCATTTTTTGAACCAAGACGTTTGAACGCCAAGTCTCGGGTTTTGGTAGGCTTGGCAATGCCCTTGCCCTTGTCAGTACGGGGCTCATCCCATTCCTCCTCATTGGTGACTGAAACAACATGGCCATCTGGTGTACCGGCGGGGCGTGAGGGTCCAGCTTGGTTCATTGCCGAAACCAAGTTCACTGGCTGGACAGAATGGATCGTCCGGGGGACGAACGACGTTGGGGTAGTCCTGGGAATTTGCAAGGGAGTTAATCCCGATGCCTGCATTGGGTACATACCAGGATAACCATATGGCATATACCCTCACAACTGTTGCATCATGGCCATAACATGGTTATAGCCTTGCATCGCTTGAGCGTTTGTCGGGTCAGCGGCAAACTGAGCAAGATGCGGAGGATACATCATTGGTGGAGCCATTACCCCCGACATATTTGATCCCGGAACGGGACACATGGATAGGGGCAATGAACTCGAAAATAACGGAGTCGTCGTAGGCATTGGGCTAGGAATGGACATGATCGGAATCATCCCCAATGGTCCTACGGAAGTCAGCGGGGTAAAAGCTGTCCCCATGCTAGTCGTTACCGCCGGGAGGGTAGATAATTGGAGCTCAGAAATAACAGGATGGCTACTATAAGACATTTTTGTGGGTATAAGAAACTTTGCTGGGCAAGATTTTTCTCAAAAAACCTGCCCCACGGTGGGCGCCAAATGATGGTGTAAATTCCACCGGGTATGAGAAGTAGGTAACTGGGTCGGGTTAGGGAGGCCTAACCGGATAAATAAAGATAAGCTTAATAGTAAGGAACACAACACAGAATTACCTGGACCGGGGTAAATCTCCCGAGTCCGAATATATTTCTTACTCCTTCTAGAGTGTACATGATTTTATGGAAGTAGTAGTGAATGCCCTCTCCTCTCTCTATCACAGATTATTTATAGAGTAGAGGAGGCTCAGTAGGTACATGCAAGCTGCCCACTTAAGGACAAATAACCAGACAGCATCTATCACTGTGCAATCAGAATATGTTGATTGAATACAAATCCAGGATGGTGCCAAAGGACTTTACCACACTGATTTCTTGAGTGACGGGTGTGGGTCCCTCCATTGATCTCCTAGATACTTGGGTTTGGGGGAGGTAGATACGTCCGCGCGTGATCCACATATCGAAGCTCAAAAAGTGAGACCGGTCAAGTTGTACGGAGCCCAATGCTTCATTTCCTCAAGAGCTCAGGATAGTGACCGGTCTCCCAATCCGGAGGGTGACCGGTCTCTCAATGTCGTACCAACGTCTATTCTTGAAGACCAAGACCGTGACCGGTCACCTAAATCCGGGGGATGACCGGTCACCTACCACCATTCTCCAAAGTAGCCGCCTAGTTGAGTCCGAAAAGAAGATTCGTGACCGGTCACCTTTAATCAGGGGTGATTGGTCGCCCAGCGCCATGCTCCAAATAGCCACCCAGTCGAATCCGGAAGATCCGAATCACCACTGGTCACCCGACCTCATGGTTGACACGTCACCTCGGTATCGACGAGTATACCTGGGTATGTAATATACCCATTAGACGTAATCAAAATATTTTTCTGAGAACTTTTATTTTTTATTGTCTGGGTCTGTCTCTGTCATAAATTAATTTAATAATATGAATGATATAAAAATATATGAATTAAATCCAAATGATTAATATGATGTTCTCAAGTGTCAAAAATTAAGATTTCTAATCTTATGAAATCACTTTTGAATTGAGTTTATTTTATGGGTCAAAGTTACAAATTTTAATATTTAAAATCGTCATAACTTGAAATATATAAATCAGATTGCTTCATAAATGTACCGTTGCATTCGTCTCTTCGAGACATATCCATTAAAATAACTTTTTAACAAAAAGTCACTATTTTGAAAATCCATTTATTTTTGGTCAAACGTATAAATATTCTTTATTGGACAAAAACTACTTTTGTTTTATAATAAATTTTAGGCCTTATTTTGTGGCGTTACAGGTAGAAATGTCTTTTTTAGGAAAATGTGTAATTCTTTATGGGACAAAAAATTTATGAAATGTGTAAATCTTTTTAGGACAGATGGAGTATAACATTTCATTCCATTTTAGGTAAGGTGTAAAAAATATTTTACAACACAGAGAGTATTAGGTCCTGTTTGGCATCAGCATTAGAGATTAGCATTGGCGTTTTGAAAAGTCTATCCGACGGTAGCTTTTAGCGTTAGCGTTTTCTGACTTAATCTATACACTTAATATTTTATCCAAAACTCCAATTCTAATTGAAAACGTTCTTCCCAAACAAGGCCTTAGTAAATATCTTTTTTGCTTTCAAGTGTCTTCCCTCATTCTTGCTCCTTCAAAAGTTTTTTAGACTTTTATATTCTATTAAATATAAAATTACTTTTTTTAGTCTTATCTAAAGCTTGAATAGATTTTTCATCAATGTCAACCAGAATAATTTGTATCATTACATTTTTAAACAATCGACAAAATGTTTGCTCAATTTCCAAAATGTAAACTACCTCTCTTAGTTGTTTCTGAATCTATATTGAATAAAACAAAGATAACTTTTGATACTACTCTTCCGAACATTTTATGTCCGTAAAAGATACTTCATCCCTCAAAACCTTTCTTGATTTGACTTTTAAGTAATTTAAGGAGAGTATATTTTAGTGTTTTGTTTTTCAAAAATGCTCTTTAATATGATGGATAAAAATAGAATGTGATGCGTAGATTAATAGTAAATAGATATGATGTGATAAATAAGTTAAAAAATAAAAATGTTATTTGGAATAAAACTTGAAGTTTTTTTTTTGGGATGGAGGGAGTAAATTTTTCTAAATATGAATGTAAAGTACAAATAGAAAAAAATTATTGGATGAAAAAAGTATTAAATTTATATCACAATTTAATGTATTTTTTTCATAATTAGTTAAAATTTAAAAAAATCAAAAGAGAGAAGCTATAGAGAATATTTCTCTTTGTTCGCCTAACTGAAAGGTTTCATCTTTCATATTTTTCCACCAAAATATTTTCACTTTCTATGAAAAGCTACTTTAATTTCACCCATACTTTTTCTTATTATACATATCACCTTATACTTTTTTTTAATAATTTATCAATCATATTTCACTTTGATGGGTATATCCCTATACCCGACCCGGACAACCGAAAGAGACAGGTCAAAATATGACCGGTCACTTTTATCAATCACCAAATGAGGTTAACTNACGGGTCAAAAGTTGACCGGTCACTTCCACTAAAAAAGTGACCGGTCACATTTTGGGCGATAGCCAAAATGTCGCCTAATGTTACAAAGGACATTCTAGAAGACCAGAGACGGGTTGAGCACAAAGAATGACCGGGTAACTTTTGAGAGAAGGTGACCGGTCATATCACTTTACTTGGCTAACATTGGTTCAGTTTCTTAGGCATGGTGAACCACGTCAGAGGTCAAGGGGACACCCCGCCGCTCATCCATCACGAGGCACACAGTGAAAGGGATGTTTGTCATTTTGCAGGGTTGATTGGATTGAGAATATCCATTTTAGTCTTTGATTGAACAGTACATGTCTTGGCTTATAGTTACTAAATTCTATGATTGTACAGTGTTCCCATTATCTACAGTGACCTTCCCACGAGCTTCCTATTTTGTCCATGGATGAACAGGGGAAGGTCACAAATCCTCCTCTATAAATATGATGATATTGGATAGAGGAGGGGATCCAATTTTTCTCTCACAAAAGTTCACTCTTGAGATAGAGTAAGAAATATAATTCGGACTGAGGAGATTTACCCGGTCTAGGTCATACTTTGTGTTCTTGTTGTGTGTTTTATATTACGGGTCGAGTGTGTCCAGGTCAAACCTGGTTAACCCACCCCGCTATATTTACACCATCACACTTTTACTTATCACTTCGACGGCAAAATTATTAGTCAATTACAATTTCCTATTCTTATTTTGGCAAGTAATTTTGAGCATCCGCATTCATCCCTATTTAAGAGCCTTATATACTCAATACCCAGCATGAACAGAACTCCGTCCCTGTCCAGGCTCCAAGCTTATGAGCGACTTGTTGAGAGAGGAAGAAAAATCTGAAACGAAAACTTATTGCATTGAAGTCTGATACAACAAACTCTCTCTATTAACACATTCTACACGTGGGTGGATATATTTATACAACAGAAGAAAAGAAGCACAAAATGACAGCTGGCATAGTGGGGATATAAATGACAGCTGGCACAAAAGAGAAAAGGAAAAACAGTTAGAAGCTAATATCTCTACATCCCCCCTTAAGTTGGAGCCGGTCGAAGGCCCAACTGGAGAGATAAAGAAGCATGTTGCGAAGCACCCAAGGCTTTAGTCATGATATTTGCCAGCTGATGGTGAGAAGGAATATATGCAGTCCGCAAGAAACCATCTTGAACTTTATCTCTAGTAAAGTGGCAATCAATGTCAAAATGCTTGGTGCGCTCATGGTAACAAGGGTTAGCAGCTATTTGTTGAGCTGCCTTATTATCACAAAAAAATGTGATAGGAAGAGAAACATCTTGGTGTAAATCATGAAGTAAGTAACTTAGCCATAGGAGGTCACAAGTGGTATCAGAAAAATGCAATACCCAGTTAGAGACTTTCTGGTCATGAGGAAAGACCCCCAGTCAGCATCAATAAAGCCAGTAAGAGAAAGATTATGTTGTATGGGATAGAAAAGACCATGACTGATGGTGCCTTTGAGCTACCGAAGAATATGAGCGGCTGCTTGCATATGAAGATTTGTGGGAGCATACACAAACTGACTAAGATGCTGAACAGAGTAAGAAATTAAACATTTGGTCTAGTTAGGCCAAGATAAAGAAGCCTTCCAATAGGGCGCCTATAAGGCTCAGGATCAGTCAAAGGCTTGCAAGTATGTAGAGAAAGCTTCAAATTCTAAGGTAAAGGGAATTTAGTTGGCTTTGTTCCTGTAAGGCCAGCATCTGACAGAATGTCCAAAATGTATTTTCGTTGATGAAGCTGAAGACCATCTTGTGTTTTACAAATTTCCATACCCAGAAAATACCTGGCCTCACCAAGATTCTTAATGGTAAATTTGTGATCCAAGGCAAGCTTTGTGTGAAAAATCTCATGTGGTGAAGCATATCATCGACATAAACCAATACTAAGGTGAAGGATTCATCAAACCTTTTAACAAATAGAGAGTAGTCATGTTTGGATTAAATGTATCCAAGGCTAATAAGGAAAGTGCTCACTTCCAAGTTCCACTGAGGAGAGGCCTGTTTGAGACCATAAAGAGAGCGTTTTAACTTGCAAACTTGGCCAGATAAAAATTGAGTGTACCCTTCAAGAGGGTGCATGTAAATGTCCTCTTCAAGATATCCATGAAGGAAAGTATTGTTGACGTCGAGTTGATGCAATGCCCAATTAAATGCTACTGCCAAAGCTAAAACAACTCTAACAGTAGGTAATTTAGCCACGGGAGAAAAAGTATGTTTGTAGTCCTGACCTAGTTTTTGATTGTATCCTTTGACAACCATTCTAGCCTTGAACCTCTCAATTGTACCATCAGGGTTGTATTTAATTTTATAAACCAACTTAGAACCAATGGCCTTCTGACCTTTGGGCAAGGTACTGAGATTCCAAGTTTTGTTTGTCTCTAGAGCTGCCAATTCTTGAGACATGGCAGTGACCCATCTTGGATCCTGACTAGCCTGAGCATAAGTGGTGGGTGTTTGGACACTGAGTACATTAGCAATGAAACTAGTAAAACCTAGAGGAAGAGAAACGGAACTACTAAGAAAAGATAAAGGATGAGCTGTGAAACAATTGGTCATAGATTGTGTTTTGAAAGTAGGACAAATGTAGTCTGAAAACTTTGCTGGAACTATTTTGTTTCTGTGAGGTCTAGAAGGAAGTGGAGAGGAAGAGGAATCAGTGTCTCCTGTAGGTGAAGAAGAATTAGTAGGACTTTCATGACCATTATTATTTGGGTAAGAAGATGATGATCCATGTGATGGTGAAGAAGGGGCTGAATGAGATTCAGGGAATGGAAGAGAGGAAGTATATTCTCCTTCATCTGTGATAGAAAAGGGAGTAGGGTGAATGAAATCAGGGATATGAACTGTGGAATGAGACATGAGTTTGTAGGGAAAGATGTCTTCATGGAAAGTGACATCTCTGCTGAGAAATGTGGTTTTGCTGGCCAGATCATATACTTTGTAACCCTTTTGTGCAAAGGATATGATAGCCTATGAAAATGCATCTTCTACCCTTGGGAGCGAATTTATCTGTGGTTTTTCCTGCTACTTTGGCATAGCATAGGCAACCAATGACTCTAAGATTGTCATATGTGGGTAGAGAATGAAATAGAGCCTCAAAGGGGGTTTTCCAACACAGTTTTTTCATGGGCATTTTGTTGATGAGATAAGTGGCAGCAAGAATACAATCCCCCCAAAAGAAAGCTGGGAGACTGGCTTGAATTTTTAGGGCTCTAGTTGTTTCAAGTAAGTGTCTGTGTTTTCTCTCTACTACTCCATTTTTGTTGTGGAGTGTAGGTCATGGTTTTCTGGTGCACAATGCCAAAGGGTAGAAAATAGTTAATCACACGCAGTTCTGACAATCTCAGTGCCATTGTCACTTCTCACAAATTTTGGTTGTGTATGATGGTGGTTTTTGACATAAGAGATGAAGGTTTGAATGATGGAACTAACTTGATCCTTATTGTGCAACAGGTAGGTCCAAGTAGTTCTAGTTTTATCATCCACTATGGTTAAAAAATATTTGGCCCCATTCAAGGCTGGTGTTTTATAAGGTCCCCATAGATATATATGCATCAAATGAAATGGAGAATCAGAAGTAATAACAGTATTTGTGGAAAAAGGAAGTTTGTGGGTTTTTGCCATGGAACAAGCATCACAATCAAGTTTATTTTGATGCAGAAATTTACAATCAACAAGATGACTCAACTTTGACATTGAAGTATGACCCAATCTCATATGAAATTTGTACAGTGACTCTTTATTGGGCACATTAGCTACTGAAATAAAAGAGGCAGGTAGGAAACTTTGATTCTGAGTAGTGGAGGAAGAGACTGGAACTCCTTTGGAAGGACTGGAAGAGTGAGCTTGTAGAATGTAAATACCATTTTTCTCTTTGCTAGAAGCTATGGTCCCTTTAGTTATAGGGTCCTAGAACAGGAAGGAATTGTGTGAGAAATGGGCAATCCAAGAATTGGCAGATAGGATTCTTCCAACAGATAGTAAGTTAAACTGAATTCTAGGACAAACAATACATTTTGTAATGTCAGTTGTGGATTTACATAAACCTGTCCCACTTTATCAACCTTTTTAATTGTCCCATCAGGCAAAGTGATTGGAATGCGATCAAACAAAATCTTGGTGTTATGGAAAAGTTCAAGATGGAGTGACATATGATCAGATGCTCCTGTATCAACTATCCAAGTCCACTTTAAACCAACATTATTTCTCAGACTAGTTAGAACAAACGAGGGATCAGGTGCCATACCTGCAAAGTTGGCAGTGGTGAGATTAAACTCACTGGAATCTCCTTGTACACTTCTCTCGAACATTTTCACCACTTCTTGACATATGCTTGATATGAGTCCTTGGTCAATTTGCTCTTTGTTTTGTTGACCTCCACTATTGCAATCAAAAGGACTATCCATGCTTGGTTCTTCTGATTTTTCATCATGCAGGATATGTGCTTCCAGTATTGATGGTCCTTCCTTCTTGGTTCTCCTTCCTTTGTACCAGTCTGGATAGCCCACTCTCTCAAAACACTGCTCATAGACATGTCCTTCACTTTTGCAGTGCCTGCAATATTTTCTATCACCAAATCTTTGCTTCCTATCTTCCCTCCTCTATGGTGGCATTCTTCATGTATCATTGTTGATGAAGAATGCTGATGACTCTGGAGTGCAACGTGTGATATTTCTCTGTGTCTCAATTTGTTGTATTATATAAAATGCACGACTGAAGGTGAGCAATGGTTCAGTTGCGAGAAGATTTCCACGATATCCTTCATAATCGTCATTGAGACGCATCAAGAACTGCATCAACTTGTTCCTATTCTCAATTACTGTCCATTTTTCTATGAAATCACATCTGCACTCCTTCACTTTTCCGCATTCACATACTAGAAATCCATTCAGCTCATGCAATGTCTCCCAGTATTTCTTAAGTTTGGTGAAGTATGCAGATACAGTCATGTTACCTTGATGAATTTCATTAAGTTCCTTCTGTGTTTGGTAGATGAGAGGCGTATTGGTGCTTCCATAACGTTCTCCGATCTCTGACCATAACTCTTCTGCAGCATTGACATAAAGGAATGAATCGGACAGATCTGAGCTCATTGAATTTAGAATCCAACAAGTAACCATATAATACGTCCTTATCCAGCGCTGGTAGTTAGGATTTGTAATATCAGGCTTCTTACAGGTTCCATCTATGAAACCTAGTTTTGATTTAGCTCCATCCATGGTGATAGTCTTCTTCCAGGCGAAGAAGTTTCCTGTGAATTTCGCAGTGGTGAAGGCAAGGCCGGGTTATCTTGTCCCGTCAAGCCTAAAGGATCCACCGATTGATTTCCGGTGTTGCCGACAGCTCGCGATTCTTCCATTGTTGCAGATTTCAGAGGATATCACGAAGAACGATGGATAGATCAATTGATTCGTATAAGATCTTCCATCAATTCTAGCTTTGATACCATGTTGTGAGAGGAAGAAAAATCTAAAACGAAAACTTATTGCATTGAAGTCTGTTACAACAAACTCTCTCTATTACCCATTCTACACGTGGGTGGATATATTTATACAACAGAAGAAAAGAAGCAAAAAATGACAGCTGGCATAGTGGGGATATAAATGACAGCTGGCACAAAAGAGAAAAGGAAAAATAGTTGGAAGCTAATATCTCTACACAACTCCCCTCTCTTTCCAGAACATAACTTTCTAGCGGCTCCGATCCCCCTCATCTATTATGCCACTGGAAAAGAGGATGATGAGGAGGAGGAAGATACTCACAACACTTCGAGTGGTTTTAAGGTAGTTTGTATCCCTTTTCTTGATATATATAGCGGGTGTGCTGTTAAAAAGAGAATGCGTTGCTGGTGGCGGTTCACCGTGTTTGTGTTAGGATATTTGATTAAATAATCAAAACAAAAGAAAATAAGAAAGAAGACAAAAAAATAAAATGAAAGAAAGAAACGTGACTTGGACAACAAATTGATTTGGTGCATATTATCAAATCAAAGTGGATCTTTCGACTTCTTCTCAACCATGCATGCACATACGGAGTACTTCTTTGGTTATAAAAGCAAGGTAACCATTGAATATATGGGTATGGTTTTCAACACACCACCAAGGTAGAGAGAAACATGGGAGGGTTCTACACAAGAATACAACCGGGAACGTCCAAGGGGTCTTGGTGAGCGTGAATGAGTGTAGGGAGTGGCGGGTATCTAGTTACTCAGAAAAATACATCCGGGCATAGGATGTGGAAATATTTGTTTATAAGTGTCCGGAATTTAGCTTTGTAAACAGGGGAGAAGTTTTTTGTATATTGTCCTGAAATAGTGGAAATATAATTTTTTTCTATCATATATTCTTCGTGTTTGTTCTCTCATTTTTTTGGTACTCTCAATATTTTTTCGGTATCTTACGCGCTTAAAATCCCAACAATTGGTATCGGAGCTTGGTTGCGTTGGGTAGGAGGGATTTGTAAGCGGTAATAAGAGAAATTTTTAGAACCCAGGGACTGGTAGGTTTTGGTCAGAAGGCAACCATGGGACTTCAGGAACAAAGTGGATGGCATGGGGACCGAGTATAAAGCAGCATGCTGGCTTTGTGAAGTATGGTGGATGAACAAGACTTGAGGAGACTGCTGGTCTAGCTGAGTGAAAATTGCGGTTTATGTCTTGTGTCAAAAGTCTTCCCGGCAAGAAGAGGTCGGGCGACGTGTCCTGCAGGTGTTGTTGCGGCGGTGCAGGATGGGCAGATCGAAAGAAGCTAATTGCTAAGGGGAGTCTCGGAGAGTGTTAACAAAGGTGAGTTGTTATTTTTTTAGCTCGGGGTGGAGGGTTAAAACTCTAAGGGGCTAAGGGAGTGACAAAGATATTGACGGAGTCGGTTGTGGTGGAATCAAGGTTTCAACGGCAACTGGAAGTGGCGGGGGATCTTTGCTTGGGGTATTGAGCAAGGTGGAGCCACGAAGGCAACACATGGTTGCGGAGATCTTGTGGACTTTAGCAAGATAGATTCACGAAAAAAATTCCATAGTGGTGGTGATCTCGGTGGATTGATCGAGGTGGAGCCACGGGGTATTTCTTTTCTTCTTTGAGGTTAGCGGTGATCTCGAGGAACAAATCGAGATGGAGCCAATGTAACACCCGCCTTCCGTGGACCCATTTCACCCGCGACCCAACAGACCGGTAGGGTTACATGGGCGGTCCGAGAACCGTCCGTAGAGAAAATCGCATTAATGTCTATTTATTATGAAACGGTTGGGTTTAATTGATGGGATATTAATGACTATTTATTATGAAAACGTTTATGTTTAATTGGTGAAATAAATGTTAGGAGTTATTCCCAAAACGTGTGAGTTATAAATGCAGAGTAAAAGCGGAAGTAAATGAATACGTAAAACGACAAATGGTGGGTTCATGCCCAAATGATTAATTAATTAAATGTATTTAATTATTGAACTTGTCCATGCGCCACCCATCTTCCCACCATCACTGTCCTCCAGGGTTAGCACCTGTTCCATCATGTCCACCTGCGTGTAGCAAAAACAACTACACGCTCAGCAAAAGCTGAGGAGTGAATCTAACAAAAGAACATTAAGTGATAACCCATATGGCTATACACATATTAATACCTGTACTTAACGTACGGAAAACCACATGTTTACTAACTGATTAATTTACACCTGTTGGGTACTTTTACGTATAACAAAATGATGTACTACCACATTGAATACGAACATGATGGGGAAGCTACATGATGATGACAACCACATTGAATGTTGACGTGACATGGAACATACATGATTACGATATGACTTGATGCGTGACTTAAACTACCAGGGACACCCCTGACTTAGTTTCACTTGACAGGATTACCCCTGCACTCCGGTAATGAGCTGGGCTCGACGGAAATGTCGCAAGTGGACTAGCAAAAACCGGGTGGTAGCCGTAGCCTGACTACCATGTACGTACACAAAGCCCACCTGATGAAAACCCGTTGGATCCTGAAGGTTCCTGGACGGGCCCACTGTAGTAGGCGCACGGAAGCCTGACCTCCCTACAGCGGTATGCACATGATGATAAACCTAGGACATGTGACTAAAATGAACATGATGAATGCTTGTTGTATTTACCTTTGGTCAATGCCAAGAATATATATCAAATAAATAACATACTAAATGAATATTAACATTTCATGCAAACACACAATCAGATTCTGTGTCAATATGGTCAACGGAACTCATTTTACAAACTGCCCGGAATTCTGCCCGCGGAACGGTCGACCGTACCCTACCGGCGGTCGACCGTGGGCTATGGTCTGAGTCTGGGTCACAAACGGTCCACCGTTGCGGCCGGCAGTCGACCGTCACGGTGGGGGCCGACGGACGGTCAAGGGAAACGGTCCACCGTCCTTAGCAGCGGTCGACCGTCCCGTAGACAGTCAACTATCTTTGGCTTTGTTTTGATCTGTTTTGCTAATTTAACACTTAGATTCCTTTAAGAACAATAATGTAAACATTGATGAATATATTCCTAGTGATTCCTATGTCAATATATACAAGTTTTACGTAGTGAACATTTTGATGGCTAACCTACGAACATGCATAGATTCTACATAGGTTGCATACGATATTCCTATGAATATAACGACATAGATTATGACTAAATGTTCTAGAATTAGAGGGGACAACTACTCACCTCTAAATGAAGGGGTTGACGAAACGATGAGACGAGATGAATGAATGGTTGAACGACGAACGAACTTCCTGCGTGAACTTCCTTCTTCTACCTTCCCGTCAACTCGCCGGAACCTTCTCGCCCAACTGCTGCTGTGGGCCGAACAAAGGAGTGGAGAGGAAGAGTTTTGTTGTTGAATGAGAGTTACAAGTTGGTGAAGGAGGTGAAGGGAAGAGGGAGTTTTATAATGGAGGAGTTAATGGTGATAAAGATGAGAAATGAATGGTGGGGGGTTATGGAAGATGAAGAACGTGTGTGTGACGTATGGATGATGGGGGTTACACAATTTATTTTACTCTGTTATGTTAAAATCTGACCTGAACGGTACGCACTTTCCCCCCCGAACGGGTCCGAATTGAGATCCGCTTGTGTTTTTGGAATCAGACAGTCAAAACGAATTTAATGACATGTTCAAATAATTTCTCTAGTAACTTTATTTTCAAAATTTCGGATCCATCCCAATCATTAATTAATTTATTTACTTAATTAATGTTGAGAGGCCCGTTATAAAAAAACATCTTTTACAATTAAAATACATTAGCTTTGGAAAGCCATTTTAAGAGATCGAAATCTCATTTATTTATTATTAAAAATAATGAGTCTCAATAAATAAATAATATTTATTTATTCAAAATATTGTCTAGCTATTAGGCCGGTTTGTAGGGCATTACAGCCAAGGTAATTTTTCTAAAGGTAGCAATGATCTCACGGGACAAGTGAGGTGGAGCTACAAAATTTTTTGATTATTTAATCAAGGTGGAGTTTGTTAGGATATTTGATTAAATAATCAAAAGAAAGAAAAATAAGAAAGAAGACAAGAATAAAATGAAAGAAAGAAACGTGACTTGGACAACAAAATAATTTGGTGCATATTATCAAATCAAAGTGGGTCTTTCCTTTTTGACTTCTTCTCCAACTATGCATGCACATACGGAGTATTTCTTTGGTTATAAAAGCAAGGCAACCATTGAATATATGGGTGTGGTTTTCAACACACCACCAAGGTAGAGAGAGAAACATGGGAGGGTTCTATACAAGAATACCACCGGGAAAGTTCAAGGGGTCTTGATGAGCGTGGATGGGTGTAGGGAGTAGCGGGTATTTAGTTACTCAAAAAAATACATCCGAGCATAAGATGTGGAAATATATGTTTATAAGTGTCTGGAATTTAGCCAAGTAAATAGGGGAGAGTTTTTTGTATATTGTTCTGAAATAATGGAAATATATTTTTTTTCTCTCATATATTCTTCTTGTGTTTGTTCTCTCATTTTTCTAGTGCTCTCAATATTTTTTCAGTATCTTACGCGCTTAAAATCCCAACAGTTTGGTATTCATATCCTTTCTTTGGATATGAACCGATGGACTGAACACACTGTGGATTAGTAACCTTTTTGGCTCACCCATTATTGAACTAACCTTCCCATAGTGCCCCACAATGAAATGCTCCATTGGCTCAAATCAATGACCACTCTCTTGTGTCATGGAATCCCTTTGACCTTCTTCCGGCCCTTTTGTCGTCTAGTCCTCCTCTGAAACTTAGCCGCACCATAAAGGTTGCTCGAGCCGAACCTAGTTGCCCCTAGTTTTTTGCCACCTTCAAGTATGCATGTTAAAGATGGCCTCACAAAAGATTCTTTACTTGAATTCGGACTGAGTCAAGACTGCCTCCATGTGATCATCGAGCATTGTCGCAGCTAGCGTACCCTTCGTGTGTGGCTATGTTGCACAGACTCTTTAAATAGATGTCGCATTCTGTCCCCAAAACGTCCCCGCTCGGGTACTTGGGGGCGACCCCATGCCCAATTCTTTTATAAATAATAAAAGAAATTGATGTTTCACACTTTCGACCTCGTCCCCGTGGAAGTCCATGTTTACGTCTCAGTGCAACTTAGGTGGGTGGCTCCTTGAGGAGAAGAAGAAAGACACACCAAGTTGGCTTTTGGTCCATAAGCTGATTCCGTGATTGTTTCCCCGATCTTCCAAAAACAGACATTGGGAGAAAAGAGATCAAATTTGGGGCCTGCCACCCCCATGGCAACAACGTCATCTTCTTTGAGATGCTTGATTTTGTTATTCGGATCAATTTACGCACTCGAGAAGTCAAGCATTGTTTGGACACCAGCTTCGGCATGTTAGCTGCATCTCTAGTCTTGCACCAATTTTTTCCAACTACCTAATTGTAAACACTCAAGACAACAAGTACCGAGTTTGTTTTTCCTTTATTTCATCATTTGTTCATGCTTTCTCTTGTTCACAACTTAGTAATGTATGTACCCGTCTTACTCTTAGAGCACTGAAAGACTCGTGAAGCCCTAGAGGCTTCAAGCCGGGGCTTCAAAATTTTTCTCTATCATGTAAGCTTTAACTTAGCTCCCAGTTTTACTGGAAAATATGTAAAGCCCTGAGACTTCAAACTCGGGTTTTAAACCTTTATTTTTTATATTTTTAATGCAAATTTTGTAAAATTAAATTTATAAAATTTTATTAATTAATTACATTTAAATGATAATAATTCATTTAATAAAAAATACATTAAAAAGTTATATCTTTTTGAAGAAAAAGTTACATTAATCAAATAAGATTTGAATAATAATAATAACATAAATAAAAATTAAAAATGTCATTACATTACGAAGAATGAGAACTCTTCTTTTACCGTCAGATGAAGATGATCTCATTTTTTTTGAGTATTTTGTAGGGATAATTAAAAGAAATTAAATATATTATAGGAATTACGGAGAGAACGAGAATATGTTTTGTGTAATTTTTTTTAAAATAAGTATTTATTTTAAAAAATTTATTTTAAAAAAAATAATCCAAAGGTTTTAATTTGGACCGTTGGGGGAAGGTGGCGATAGGCCAAATTTACAGCCTTGATCTGTTAAATGTTTGACGCAAAACATTTAACGCCTAGATGACGGTGGAGTGGGCGGTGTTTAACGCCCCCCGTGATGAGCATTTCCACTGCTCTTAGGCCCTGTTCCATTCAACTTATTTTTTCTTATTCTTATTAAAATCAGATCAGATCAGATCCAATAAGTTCAGATCAGATCAAATCCAATTAGATCAGATCCCATCAAGACTTATTATTATTGTTGTTGTTGTTATTATTATTATTATTATTATTGTTATTGTTATTATTATTATTATCATTATTATTATTATTCTTAAAAATAAAAAAGAATAAACTTTATAAACAAGTTAAATAGAAAACTGAGAAAGTAATCATTAATTATTAGACATCGGAAAAATTATTTTTAAAATATATTCTTATTGCTACCTGTAATTTGAGGTTCTAAAATTTTGATCTTTTATAAGGATGAGATATTTTAATAAAAATATTATCTTTTCTATATATTGATTATCTAAATTTAATTACTTTTTAATGTATATATAAATTAAATATTTATTCTAATGTATATATGAAGTAATTATTAAAATACTAAATTAATATTCTAATTTCACAAAAAAATAATCATAAAATAAAAAATATTATTACATTATAATATGAATGATTATTCTAATATACGGAGTATGAATTAACTAATTTTATGTTATTAAAAAATAATCATAAAATAAAAAATATTAATTATATTATAATGTGAATTATCCTTACAGTTTTCAAACGTTATTATAAAGTCAAATCAAATTATTGATTTGAATTTTAAATCAAATCATAAATAATCAGATCAGATCCAAGCAGATCAGATCAAATCCTATCAGATCAGAAAAAATAAGTTGAACGGAACAGAGCCTTACGGGTTGCCAATTTTTCTTTCGAAGTCACTAAATTTTTGTGGGACGTTCGAGTAAGAGTTTTTAACTTTTCTCTTCATACATTTTCTCTGGCGATTTTTTAGTACAGGTTTTCACAAACACCTCGCACATTTTTTTAATATAATTGCATGGTTAGTTTCTCTTTGAGAATTAAAAGTTAATTTTTAAAAAAAATACAAATATACTTTACATTATGAGTAAATTAAACATCAACAACATTACCAAACCTTATAATCTGGAATAAATTATATGTATAACTCATTTATTTTTATTGAAGAATATTAGAAAAATTTAAAATGTTACTCCTGAGTAAATTGTTAATGACCGGAAACAGCAATTCATGGCTAGCGCAAGGTGGAAGGAAATTGTGGCCATCAGCAAGTGGTGGCAACATCTCTCTAACAAAGTGAGGTTTTGAGTTGACAAATGTTGCCTGACAAGGTAACTATGAATGCCTATACTCCATGAGTGATGAAGGACTAACAACCAACCTGAATATAGACGAAGGGGCTGTTTGGCAACTTCTGAATAGATAAGTACTGAACCAGTAGGAGGTCTGAACCATTAAGTACTAAACCAATAAGAGGTCTGAACCATTAAGAGCTAGTATATTGCTTAACTATTCAGAGGCAAATGTCTGATCAATTTAGATAAGAGGTCTTAACCATTCAGATTCTGTATAATACTTAACCATTCAGAGACAAATGTCTGAACCATTCAAACATCTGAACCATTAAGAGGCAGAAACAAACACTCTGAACCATTAAGTGCTGAACCATTCAAACATCCGAACCATTAAGAGGCTGAAACAAACAGCCCCTAAGACTTCATATAGCTTCTACTCTCTTAATCCTTTCATTACAGATTTACTCCCATATATATATCGCGGTGGGTTAAAATCTACAAGAATGCATGCAACAATTTAATGCTTCCTAATGCTATTAATTATGAAGGATAAAAATGTGAGCGAACCAATGAAAAGCAACGGATAACAACAGAAACCTCGTGAACTCGATCAAGAAGAGCTATTCACAGAGCAGATTGATTTCGTCTCAGCAATTCTTCTGCATCAATGAAACGGTCTAGCAACTCTTTCTCTTGAAGAACCAAGCAATCGTTATCTTTCCCAAACCAGTGGTAGTGCCTCTTTGCAACATAGTCATAGACAGCATCCCTTAGAGGTTTGGGGCTAACCATGAATGCACTTAGTACGGAGTATGGAAATGGCAGGTGATACAAAACCTTCAGTGCAGCTGCATCATCAGAGTCCAGAAAACATAAGAACTTGTCCAAAGATAAGTTGAAAATAATTGAACACGGGAAATGAAACTAAGGGTCAACCCAGAAAATACCAGGAAAAGATAAAGGAAGCAAATGCTAGGCAAATATAATATGGAAGAAAACCAGAGGAGAACTTTGGAAGGAAGCAAATTTTGGATGTGAAAACAATGAATTCAAAGAAAATCACTAATACATATTTGTTCAGTTTCATTTTGTTTAGACATTTATATTTTGTAAAAAACAACAAAACTTTGTTGGGTTAAATAAATGCACCATTTTAATTTTTTGTGGCCAAATTCAATTCTAAATCTTATCTTAACCCTTTAAAACTATGCTCGCAACATTTTTTTTCTTACTGGAGTTACTGCCATTTTAAACATTTTAGACATAGCTTGAAGCCCTAAATGTTAGATGCCATGAAAATTATTTCACTAGAAAAAACCACACTTTCTATGTTTTAATAAAAGCAATAATCATAAATGCATGTGTTTAACACTTAGTGAAACCTTTGTTCAATTGTATTTTCTGAAAGGTAATGTTGACCTGTTCAAATACAGATTAAAAATTATCCCAATATCATCAAGAAGGGGGATATAAACAAACAAAAGAAAGTACTTAGAGACCTCTCACTGTCTTGGTACAAACCAGGACCTTGATATTTTGGATGGTGTACATGTCATTATGCCATCAGAAACAAATAACCAAGCAACATTAACAACAAAGCCCTACACTAAGCAACTCAAGATCAACTACATGAACCAAAAGTAAATCACTGGTAGAAAAGTTTTTGAATATTTGTTTTTCGAGGGTTTGAATATGATGGAGGGCAGGGATGCAGGATAATATATTTTCAATGTAAGAAGATAATGCTTTGATGCAGTAAATTTTCAAAAGAAAAGTTATATAGTTATAAATTGTTTTGTTTGGCTTCTCTTTTTTTTTGTACATCCTTCCTATTTTTATTTATCACAATCATTGTGTGCTTCATATTGCTTAGCTTGCATGACTATAGAAAAAGTCAAGTTTCTCTATCTTAGTCTCAACACCAAGTCAAAGTGGGTACAACAAAATGGGACGTAGGGCATATGATATTAATGTTCTCATAGTTTATTCATAACCACAAACCACATTATTTTCCAAGTTCCCAAACATACCCCAAGGGAAAAAGCTGTACATGACAATGCTGCTGACTCTTTGATTCTAATGCCAATCAACCGAACAAATTTACTTCCATAGTTCCATTGCATAGTTTACTTCATGAATCAGTGTATCACATTTACACATAAAATATCAGACATGGTAAATTCAAGATGATTGACTACAGCTTAGCCATATAACAAGGGAGTAAGGGAGAGATACTGAAAAGCAAATTTAATAGATCAAAATACAAAGATGGCAAAAAGGTATTGTGAGAGTGGGTAAAGTATAGAGGTTTATTTCTAACCAGTTGAGCCTTGATGGTATAGACCTGGGCCTTCAATGAACAAGAAACGACGTTCAACATCATTTCTATCAACTCCACATAAGCTCATGTATGGTTCAGCAGCTTTTGATTGAAGGCAACAGAACTTAATCTTTCTATCCTTGTCTACTTTAATAACCCATTTTACCCCTATTAACAGAAAACACAATAAATTCATCAGCATAAACATGAGACATCTACAAGCATGATTTTAACTCAGTAGAAACTTTGATTGTTATATGAAACACAATGAGGCATCAACGAATTGACAAAGTGATTACAGGCCAGATGCTTTTTATGGATTTGCAAGATTTTCAATATATATCTAATATCTCATTGAAGGACTTTTCAAACTTTTAGTGAAATGTGTGTGTGTGTGTGTGTGTATTTTGCAGTCACAACAAATCATGCAGACTAGCAAGAAGAATGCAATACATCTTAAAATTTGCTTCATAATGCTCCTTTAAATTGACAGAATGACAGAGGAAGCACACTTCTTACTTAAAACAGTACACAATGGCGGTCTTCAACAAATCATGCCGACTAACTAGAAATTGTAATACATCTAAACAACAATTTCTTAGAGCCCCCTTAAATTTACAGAAAAAATATTCTGCTCAAAAACATGGAGCACAAAAATGATTCTACTCCAGATATTAGCCAAATGCCAGTCTGAAGAGTGTTCCAATCCCTAGCTTACGCTGTCAACAATTGTTCTACTCCAGAAATTTATGCTGTCAAAATGTAGATGAAGGCAAATATAACAAGCATTAACACCAAAAATTCGCAACATAAAAGCGATGCATACCAGGAAACGAAACACAATTTGAAAAAGCAAAGGCTATCACGTGAAATTCCGCTTACCTTTATGACAGAGATGACAGACGCCGTCATAAACGACGACGCCAGGTTGCAGGGGAGTCGGAATCGTATCGGTCTTAGGAACAGTACAGACGTCATCATCAAACAGAAGATCCTCGACGAGTCCGGCTGCCGTGCTGGGAGCCATAATTCGAGGATTGGACGCCGGCGACGATGCGAACGGCTTCGCGGAGAAGCATCGGAAAGTAAGCGGCCGGACAGTCTCAACCACGATTCGAGGATTGGACGCCGGCGGCGATATGACACCGAGAAAGGAGTTTGGGCTCTTCCACAGAGATACCAAATTCCGTACGCCTATTCTCAGCATCTTCACCACCTTCTCTCTAGAAGCTTACGCATGAGCGCACCATTCCCAGCGTTTTCTAATTTCTCTCCTTCCAAAGTTTCGTTTCCTCCGTCCCAAGTTACATTTGTTTTCTTCTCTCTTTTATAACTTTGGTTTGTTCATGTATTTCATTCAAATAAAATAAAATATTTTTGTCATTTCTCATTTTGTAGAATTTTTGATATAATTTTTTAATATGTAATTATTATTTTTATTGATATATCAATTTATAAATAAAATGATTTCAAAAGATAAGAAATTTTGCTCCGTAATTCCTAATTTAAAATCAAATTAAGGACATAAGAAATATTAATTAATTATTTATTTTTATTATAATCAGATCAGATCAGAAACAATTTTAATTATAACTGCAATAAGATTAGAGGGTCACCTTATCTTAATTCCTTTCTTCCTTTGAGGAATCCATAGCTCTATCCATTAATAATGATCGAGTAGTTAGGTGTGCTAATGCAAAACTCAATCTGTTGAATAAACTGATTGGAGAAATTCAACACTTGCAATATTTGGATAACAGCCTTCCAACAAATAGAATCATAAGTTTTCTTCAAATCTAATTTCATCATACATCTTGGTGAGATTTTCTTTTTATTATACCCTCTAGCCAATTCATGACATAAAATTACATTATGAATAAGTTCTCTTCCTTTGACAAAGGCAGTTTGATAGAACCTGATCAAATTTTCACTATTCCAAAGGCGCTGAACGTCCCCTCCACTTGGGGTTTGTAACTTGTAAGTTCTGTCCACCAACACCTCCTTCACACTATAGGCTACTTCATAACTCTTCGTGAATTTTCCTCCTTCGGTCGGTTTGCTAGCCTGCCTCTTCCCCAACACCTAGTCACCTTGCTGGAACAACCTGGGTCGGACTCGCAGGTCATGATATGTCTTGACCTGCGACGGTAATTCTCAGCTCGAATGTAAGCCCTTTCTCTTTGCTCGTCGATCAGGTGGAGATCGGCCGCTAAGTTCCTTTCGTTCTCCTCTATGTCGAAGGTCTCTACCCTGTAGCTCATCTGTGAAGTTTTTGCTAAAACCATTGCTTCAAATCTGTACGTTAAGGTGAACGTCGTCTCCCTGGTCGCCTTCCTTGAACGAGACCCTATCTTAGGAACATTTCTTATAGCATTATAAGATTTCAATCATATTACATTGACCTTTAATTCTGTATTACAATAATGATTAACTTCGAATTCCAGATCATTTGCATATCACAGTTAAAGATGAAAATTTTTAATTTATGAAAGACGAATAACTCTAAAAATATTCACCACCATGTCGTAATTTTGAAATAGTTGAGTGTGTTCTAAAATGTACTCAGTCGAGTATTACGAAGACAATCCATAAGATAAAATACGTAACTTTTATATGAAGGATAGGAGGTGCCTAAAATGTTCTAAAATGTACTCAGTCAAGTATTACGAAGTTATTACATTTATAAAAGCTATGTTTAAAATGTTCATAGTTGAATATTATAATTTCATGAACGTCATTATATATTAAGACTAATAACACATCAGACAAGATATATGTGTTTCACAAATTATAAATATTGAGATATCTTAATCCATACATATGTACATATCTCAATCTATTTACAATTCATCAAACTAATCTGTATGTGCCTAAATTTGTAAGAACTATCCTCTCCTGCTTTTCAATGACATCATTCATCTTCTCATACTCAAAACGTCAATGAATAAAGTTATGTCATCACACATTCCTCAAACCCTCAAAGCATAGAGTACTTACTGGTTTAGATAAGTTTGGCTGGCTAATATTCTAACAATAATACTCCCTCTATCCCATATCTTTCTTCCCACTTTCCTTATTTAGTTGTCCCACTTGAAACTTCCCGTTTCCTTATTTGGTAAATAAATTATTTCAAAAAGACTAATTTACCCTTTTTAAAATATTTTCTTGGCCCGTGCCCACACCCCTTTTTCCTGAATCTCATCGCCCACTTTCTCACCCATTCTTCTTCTTCTTCTTCTTCTTCTTCGCACATACTCGACTTCCTTCTTTTTCTTCATTTTCTTCTTCTCCACAATATTCTCCCCCCACCCACCACACCTTATTGTGTGCACTCCACTCCTGCTCCTCCTTCGCACACACAGACTGCCACCCTCCCACACCTTTTTTTATTTTTTGAAAGACTTCTCTCCCTTTCTACGTCTTCCTCAGACCACCCATAACCCTCCCTTTTTTTCTTCTTCGTCTTTGACAGTGCCAAATCTGGCCATTATTCTTAATTCTAGATCTCAATTCTTAATTCTCCGTTGTGGAGCCGCGAAAGGATCTGGATACATTTTCAGATCCATTTATAGATCTCTCACATCCGAGCGGGCAGGGAAGGGGGCGTGGGACGGGATTGAGTTTGTGGTTGAAGGAGAAGAACATTATGAAGAAGATGAAAATGAAAAAGTAGAAGAAGGAGGAAGGGGAGTAGGGGTAACGAAGAAGAAAATATCTATGTGGGCTGTGGGGAGGGGGCGATGAAGAAGAAAGAGAAGGTGAGAGGGGAAGGGTAAAATTGTAAAGTCAAACCAATTCTCACTTTACCTAAAAAACCGTGCTAAGTCAAAACGAGAAGTTTCAACTTGGACGGAGGGAGTACAAGTTCTGGTAACCCACTACTTCAATCTTCTCATGAGCATAATTCAATTCCTTCGCTAGCTTTGAGTTTTCCTTTGTCAAGGCCTCATTCTGAAAAGAAAAAAAAGAACCAAAATGAGACATCAATACTTTTACAAGAACTTTAAAGGGAAAAAATTGTGTAGCAACAACAACATCCCAGTTGAATCCTGCAAAAGTAGGGCCTGGAGAGTGTGTGTGAGCACTGGCCTTATCCCTACTCGAAAGTAGAGAGACTATTTCCAAAGAGACATCTAGCTCAACCACCCACCACAGGAAATCACGTACGTAGCCTTATCCCTATGTTTAAACTATAAAGCAGTTATTACCAAATTGTTGGGAAATTAAACACACACAACACATACAAATGATCTCGAGAATCAAGAGAGAGAACGGAACACAAATGACACACAAGAATTTAACGTGGTTTGGTTTCCCGAATCCACGGCTGCAACAAGAGGAATTTTTATTTCACTTATGGTATCGATTGCAAGTACAAGCATGCAATATATAAGAAGAGCACATCTAGGGTTTCATAACCATGGGCCGGCCAAAGTGATACTCATCAACTGTCATCTGCCACGATTGCTTGTACATCGAGTAATCTTCCTCGGCTCTCCTGCTACAGCGGCCCTCTCATTAGACAACTTAAAGGCCTGTTGAAGCTGTCCCAAGCTCCAACACATCAGTCACGGCTAAATCTGCCCTTGACTCGTCCTCGGTCCTTACCGGATCCCACTGCAGACGTACACTGCCGGATCCTAGAACATCTTCAGAACAAACACTCTCCATACTCAGCAAGGATTTTTCTGGATATGTTCCAACAGCTGGAATACTGGTTCTCCTGACCCACCGTCTTCTAGGAAACTTGGCTGAAGCGCCTCTTGAGCTCCCACTGCCACAAATACCTCTGACTAGCCCCCTTGAACCTTTCCTCGCTCGTTCATCTTGAGTCTGACTTGTAGTTTTGGGTTTCTCTCTTGCATAGAAAACCTTATTCTGCCCACGAGACTTTGTGAACCGGGATTTGTTTCTCTTCTGAACTGGGACGGTCACTCCCTCAGATGGTAACTCGACCATATACTGCGAACCTCTCTTATTTCTGTGTGCCATGACAAGATTTCCCTTCACGACCTTTCACTGCCCATCTCTGAACTTCACCTCGTGTCCCTGTTTGTCTAACTGCTGATAGAAATCAACCTTTTCTTCAAGGCCGGAACCACTATAACATCCTTCATAGTTCAGAAACCGACTGGGGTCTTCAATACCATGTCACCCATGCCCATCACCTCAAAAGCTCTGTCGTCTACCAGCCGCACCTTTCCAAAGTCTCCAATAACCATATTTTGCATTGCTTCACCGCTGTGGGTAGCATGAAATGAAGCACCAGAATCCAGGACTTAAGAATCCACATTACTTTCCTCACAACAAGTTAGAGTGACCTCCTCGTCACTCGCAGAGCCTTCAACAATGTTCACTATCTTAATTATCATTTGAGCATTGATTCCTAAAATGCCCCACCTCTTTGCACTTCCAGCACATTACACATGAGCTATCCCGAGTCTTCGACTGACTCCTTTGTCTGCTACTACTCCCACTACCTCAGCTATTTCTTCTGCCTCTGCCAACATGTAACAATTCACTAGATGACTCCCCATAACTCTTTTTTCTAACGTCCTCGCCAAGAACGAGATCATGAATCTGATCGAATGTGAATCCATCGGATCCCACTGAACCGATAACCGTTGTAACCATTCCAGACCAACTATCAGGCAATGACGATAGCAGTAGCAAAGCTTGAACTTCATCATCAAACTTAATCTTCACTAATGCAAGTCTAGTTAAGATCGAATTCAGCTTATTGATATGCTCGGTAATTGAAATGTCTTCTTTCATCTTTGTGTTCACCAGCTCTTTGATCAGAAAAACTTTGTTCGCTGCAGATGGCTTCTCGTACATGTTAGACAACGCTTCCATAATTCCCTTTGCTGACTTCTCCTTCAGAATCTTAAATGCAACATTCTTGATCAACGAGAGACGGATCACGGACATAGCTTTTTCGATCCAAACATGCCCAATCTTCATCCGACATCTTTTCTTGCTTGTCACCCAATACCACATCCAAATCTTTCTGAACCAACAAATCTTTAATTTGCATTCTCCACCAACCGAAATCTGTACCATCAAACTTCTCAAATTGGAACTTCCCATCTTCTACCATCTCAAACGACTAGACGAGATACCATGTACAAAAAATTTCAGATCTTGGTAATTTTGTTAGAAAATTAACACAAATTCACAGCCAACCAGTAAAACTAGTCCAACCCAAATAGCAAGCCCCGAATAAAAAGTCACACGGCCCAACTTCTTTTTTTCTTTCTTTTTGACAATGGTTGTTCGACGGGCGACAGCTTTAGAATTGGATGGCGGGACGGTGGCGGCTAGCGATCGTGATAGACGGTTCCGGACGGCGGCGGCGCCATAGGTAGATGACGACAGTGGCTCGGTGAGTGGTCGAACGACACCTGCTTGCGGTGCGAAACTCCGCACAATGGATGATGGAGGCTCTCGACTGGGTAGCAGCGACACCTACTGCCCACTACACCTACCCGATCTGATGGATGCAATCTGAGAGCTCGACGTGACAGCAGCACTGCAATGTACGGGACTAACTTTACCAGGGACGAAGACGTTCTCTGTCGCTTTTGCTCTGTACGCAATAGGTTCGGCAGCAGTAGTGGCACTGTGGACGATGGCCAAACTCAACGGCAACAGTCCCGACCTGAATTTGATAGAACCTGGGATGATACTGCTCCTTTAAATCTAGACGGCTGCTCAATAGTGACGCTGGGGCATCAACTGGTTTGCGGCTGGACCTTTTCCATGCACAGCGGCGGTGGTGACTTCAATCTCAGATCCAGACAGCTACGACGGCAGCTCCTGAACCAAACCTTAGGCGACAACTTTCTCACAATTTGTGCTCTCGTGTTGAACAACCTCGCCCTTGCTCCGATACCACTTGTTGGGAAATTAAAAAAACACAACACACACAAAGAATCTGCGAGAATCTAGAGAGAGAACGAAACACAAACGACACACAAGAATCTAACGTGGTTCAATTTTCCTAATCCACGGCTACAACAGGAGGAATTTCTATTTCACTTGTGGTATCGAATACAAGTAGAAGTATGCAATATATAGGAAGAGCGCATCTAGGGTTTCATAACATGGTCCGGCCAATAAGTCAGGCCCAAGCCTCCACAAACGCAACACAAATGACTCATAATGAGCGTCGAGAGTTGTATTGACCAACTACTACTAAAAGAGTTTAGTCATTTTTCTTTATTCCACCAAACCCCAAAGCCAAAAACAGTAAATATAAGAAAAACGGAGAAAGATAAATACAAAAAAACCTTAGGTCCCGTTTGGTACATGGAATTCAAACTATGGAATTGGAATTGAAGACTTCAATTCCAATTCTGGTATTTGGTAGCACAAAAATTATGTGACTTTGGAATTGATCGTGCAAAAAAGAATTGGAATTGGCAGAATTCAATTCTATGAAATTGAATGCCATGGAATTTTAATTCCAATTCCGTCAATTTTGTATACCAAACGAACCCTTGGATTTTTTAAGTTCTTTTGTTGTCCGGTACAGGAAGTCCATTTTCTCTTCCATGCTCCCTTGTCATAAAGCTCTTCAACGTGTTTTTCATCTATATTATCAATTTTATGCCCAAGTGGAGTGTTAAATATATTTTGTATATTTAATATTTATTATGTAAAGTTAATGTTTATCCTCTTTGATTTTATTTGGAGAAATGCTACAAACTAAACTCAGGTTGAGCTTGTGTTGGTTTCATAGAGAATATATATATATATATATATATATATATATATATATATATATATATATATATATATATATATATATATATATATATATATATATATATATATATATATATATATATATATATATATATATA